AAAAAAAAAATGTCCGGCTGCCGCGCCTCTCCGCACTTCGGATGCATGTCACTCGACCGCTGCGGCACATTTCGAGGAGTGCCGATCCCGCTTGCCGCCTTGCCCCGCCTGACACACGCAACAATCAATCACAGAACGACATCGGCAGAGCCGACAGACGAGTGAGAAGACACTGCTACTCTGCAGGAGATTAAGTGCGTGGGTCTGTCCAGCGAGCGCTGCGGGGGTCGAGTGGCTGTTGGCGGGCGTGTGTGGGTTGGAAAGCCTAGGGCAGTGAGGTCCAGGCGTCGAGCTCATTTGCCGGGGGCAAGTTCGATGCTTCGCTAGACGAGCGAGCCGAGCCAACCACGCTGCATCGCTCGACGTTCCTTGCAACCGCACCTGCGCATGACCACCCCCTCTCGCTCCCAGCCGAGGTTTCGACCTGACTCTCCTCTCGCTCCCAGCCGAGGTTTCGACCTGACTCTGGCTGCCATGCTGGCCTTCGCCACTGCCGCAGCGCTGCGACACCCGCAACAGCTCGGATGCAGCAGGCCAAGGTGTAGGTGCAGGTGCAAATGCAGGTGCAGGTGTAGCTCGCTAGCTGGTCGATCCAGCACCCTGACCGCCCACAGTGGGGCACCACGCTTGCCACGCCGCAGAGTTTCTCCATGGGGTACCAGATCTGGAAGCGTGCTCCTCCGCTTTCGCTCTCGGCACCACAGATCTCCTTCAGACACGCCGAAGCCGCACTTTTCTCGCGTTTCGCCGGTCTACAGCTCCAGCTAATCCTCGTCTCCAGCTCCTGCCGCTTCGAGCGTCCGGGTGGCCATCTTTTATAGCGACTAGCGACTTGAAGCAAGAGACATAAATACCAAGCTCCCCGCTTCTCTATCCTGGTCCTTTCTTTCCCCACTCAACTTTACGCCACCCCGCTCCTCCTCCTCAGAGCTTGCCACAATGGGTCGCATCACCAACCCCTACGTGCTAACGGCACTCGCCTGCACTGGCGGTCTGCTCTTCGGATTCGACATTTCGAGCATGAGCGCTATCATCTCGTCTCCAAACTACCTCACTTATTTCGGACCTCATGATAAGACTGCCGAGTGCACCGAGCGGCCCGGAGCCCTTTGCAACATCGGTCCCAGCCCCAGTGTACAGGGTGGCATCACGGCTTCCATGGCCGGAGGTTCCTTCATCGCCTCGCTCTTCTCCGGCATTGTGGCGGACCGCTTTGGTCGTCGTTCTGCAATCTTCCTTGGCTGCATCCTTTGGGTCATTGGTTCCATTCTCACCTGCGCCGTGCAGAACATCGGCATGCTCATCGTAGGCCGTATCTTCAACGGCATGTGCGTTGGTCTCGCCTCGGCTCAGGTGCCCGTCTATCTCTCCGAGCTCTCGCCCGCCCGCATCCGTGGTCGCCTCGTCGGCTGCCAGCAGTGGGCCATCACCTGGGGTATTTGTATCTTCTTTTTCATCTGCTACGGCTGCTCCTTTATTGGCAAGCAGATCGACGGTCAGCAGGACGGAAGAGGTACTGCTTCGTTTCGCGTGCCCTGGGGTCTCCAGATGATTCCCGCGCTTGTTCTGATGGCCCTGGTCCCCATGATGCCCGAGTCACCCCGATGGCTCATTACCAGGGGCCGCAACGCCGAGGCCCTCGAGATCCTCGGCCAAGTTCACGCGAGCGGAGACCAGAATTCACCCGAAGTCCAAGCCGAATACAAAGAGATCTGCCAGAACATCGAGGAGAGCACCGGCGAAGGCTCTGGCTACATTGACCTCTTCCGCAATGGCAACGCGTGGAGAACCCACATCGCCATGTTCACTCAGATCTGGTCGCAGGTAAGTGCCCGATTGCATCCTTTGCGGATCATGTCAAGTCAAGTCAAGCCTGATACTGACCCTGTCATGAACGTGACGATGTACTACTTTCATTTGATCGATCGTGTCACGTAGCTTACTGGTATGAACGTCATGATGTATTATCTCTCGTACGTTTTCGAGATGGCCGGAATCACTGGCAACATCGCTCTGATCTCCAACGGCATCCAATACGTCATTAACGTCGTAATGACCGTGCCGGCGCTTCTCTACATCGACCGATGGGGCCGCCGCCCGACGCTGCTCATCGGCTCCACCCTCATGACCATCTGGCTCTTCGCTGTCGCCGGTCTCATGGGCAACTACGGCCACCCATTCCCCAACTCGGGAAACTCGGTAGTCCAATGGCAGGTCACTGGACCCGCCTCCAAGGCCGTCATCGCCTGCTCCTACCTCTTCGTGGCGAGTTTTGCACCAACATGGGGTCCAGTATCCTGGATCTACGTTCCCGAGCTGTTTGGCAATCGTCTGCGAGGCAAGAGCAACTCGGTGTCGACCGCGAGCAACTGGGCTTTCAACTTCGCCCTTGGCTACTTCGTTCCGCCCGCATTCCACAACATCAAATGGAAAGCCTACATTGTCTTTGGCTGCTTCACGGTTGCCATGACGATCCACGTCTTCTTTGCCTTCCCCGAGACCGCGGGCAAAACGCTCGAGGAGGTCGACGAGATCTTCCAGTCTGGTGTCCCCGCCTGGAAGACGCGCAAGGGCTCGGGCGCTCTCGCTCGCGACATCGAGGCCGTCAAGGTCGGCAACGCACCCGTCTTCACCCGCGAGGCCAGCACGCCCAGCGACTCGGCCGACGAGAAGGAGCTCAAGGCTTAAGAAAGTCTCTCGATGCAACGCGTGGGACCCTGCAAGCAGCGTCGGATTAGCCATGCACCCATGTCTTGGTCGCTTGGGTCTCGCATCAGTTCGGTTGTGCACTCGTGCTTTCGTTCGAACACGAGACTGTCTTACGGGACTGATCTGTAGAACACCCTCGGTGGCACAGCCGTTCTACATTGTATACCGATGATGGATGAATGGAACCATCACATGCTCTCGCGAGCCATCTGTATTTTCCTGGACTGTGACTTTTAATGCTGAATTATTGGACCCCATTTTGCTTGAAAATTGCAACAGGGGAAAATCGTAAACGTCTATCTCAGGACCCCAACTAAGCGCGTATTTGAAACACATTGGACGGGCAAGCAATCCTCACCTGATTGTCCTCCTACGCCCAAGAAGAGAGAGACAGAGAGAGAGCTCGGGCTTGCATAGGAGACAGGAGACAGGACCGGTTTGCATCCGCAAACAAAGAGCAGCGCATTGGCAGCGTGTGCGGGAGTGATGGGTATACGCAGTGAAGAATTTGCATGGATACGGCGACTAGGCACAACAGTGAGCGTCTCATGGATCATCCTGTTGAGCTTGTTGTGGCGCGTCGGAGGCGTCTTCAATCCCTGTGTCGGCTTTGGGCTGACTTCGCCAGTCTCCCCCCGACTGACCGCTGCGCCAGTCGCGTTTCGGTGGCGCCTCTGCATCCTCCGCATCTCCCGCAGACAGCTCCTCGCCTTGGTCCAGTGCAAGCCTTTCTTTCCATCCGAGCTTCCGCGTTGACCCTGCAGCAGCAGCTGCGGCCTTGGCTTCCTCCTTGCGCTTCCTGAGTTCGACGGCCAGCTGGTGGTTGAGTTGCTTGCGCAGCGGTGTCGAGGCATACCTGAGGTGCATAAAGTTGCAGAATCCACCGCGGTTGCACTCGTTGGTCTCGTTCTGCCGGCAACAGGCTTCCTGGAAGTCGGTCACGGGGCTCAGTTCTGCAAACAGCGGCTTGGCGTCGTACCAGCGGTCGTTGAGTGCGTCCACGGCGAGCTGCGCATCCGCCTCGTACTTGTACCGCGCATACACGTTGCCGATGAGATGATCGCCCACATTGTCGCAGACGTGCATCTCCTGCAGCTCGCCGTACTTGGCGAGCTCGCAGAACATGTCTTCGTAGAACTCGTCGAATTGCGCCTGCAGCTCCGCATCGGTGATGGCGCAGTCCTGCTCGTGGTGGCGCGGGTTGCGATAGACATTGGAGAGCAAAAGCGTACACGAGTATGGAGGGCGAATGTGCTTGCGCGAGCAGCGGTCCCCGTGACGACATGCGCCGATCTTGTAGTAGAAAGAGCAGTTGACCTTGTCCTGTTCGGTGCCGTAGATCGACGCCAAGTACGAAGCCATCGTGGCGTGTGTCCGGCTGAGCGAGCGGTGTACGCTATGTCAAGGTATCGATCCGACCTCTGTGTAGAACGACTATGTGACTGCGATTCGACCGCCAAGAAGATCGACTGGAAGGCAGGTGGCTGGCTCAAAGGTGGATGTCGCAAATGGTGGTGGCTGAGTTGCTGAGCGGCATGTCGGAGCGGGAGAAACTTGGCTCTTGTCCAAAAGTGCGGCTTTGACACCGAGACCCGAGCGCGCTTTGCAGGCGATTTCTTGTCGGCCGGTAAGAAGCTTCCGCTGCTGTGCTCAACTCCACAAAGTGTCCTCGCCGACGTGAGCCGAAAAAGTGAATTTTTTGCGTTGACCTGCAGGTCAGTTCTTTGCTGTGACTTCAACAGGGTCCGCCTCGCTGACTTTTTGCCGTCACTTTTGCCGCTCAGCAACTTCAGCAACCTTCCTCCAATCGCTCATCTCAGCTCCACGCCGACAGCAGTCAGTACTCTATACCAATCGCCCTGTAGTGATTATCGACCATGGCCGAGCCATCCTCTTCCAAGGTCAAGGCAGATTCGCTTCTCCCACCAGAGAAGCGCGAGGCGGCTCCCTCTCAGACCAACGCTGCCGCATCCACTTCCTCGAATGCTCTCTCCGAGAAGCACGGCATCGAGCTTCCCAGCCAAGAAGATGCTGAGCGTCTCGGTTTCAACGTCTTCTCACACATCCTCGATCCGCGTCTCTTGAGGTCGCTCGCCGATCTCGGCTTCGGCATTCCGACTCCTATCCAGCAAAAAGCCATTCCGCTTGCGCTCGCAGGAAAGGACATTCTCGCACGGGCACGCACTGGCTCGGGAAAGACGCTGGCGTACGGTCTGCCGCTTCTTCAGAAGGTGCTCGATGCCAAGACGGCCGTGGCCAAGTCCGATCCGAACCACCAGCTCACGCGTGCGCTCGTTCTTGTGCCTACGCGCGAACTCGCAGAACAGGTCTTCCGACATCTCTCCGTAGTCATTGAATACCTTCGCGACGACGTACGCCTCGTCAACGTCGCTCGTGAGGCGTCCGAAAAGGTGCAGCGTCTGCTGCTCAGCGAAAAGCCCGACGTCGTCATCGCCACGCCTTCCAAGGCGCTCAGCTACCTCCAGAACGGCTCACTCGACCTCAAGTCCGGCCTCGAGACGCTCGCCATCGATGAGGCCGACCTCATCCTCTCGTACGGTCACGACTCGGACGTCAAGTCTCTTCTTGGTGGCAGCTTCCTCCCGTCCCACTTTCAGTCGTTCCTCATGTCGGCTACTATGACTTCGGACGTCTCCAAGCTCAAGGGCCTCCTCCTGCGCAACCCAGTCGTGCTCAAGCTCACCGAAACCGACGATGCGGCAGGCTCAAATTTGGTGCAGTTCTACACCCGCACCACCGAGGAGGACAAGTTCCTGCTTGTCTACGTCATCCTCAAGCTCAAGCTCATCCGCGGCAAAGCGATCCTGTTCGTCAACGAGCTCGAGCGCGGATATCGACTCAAGCTCTTCCTCGAAAAGTTCGGCCTGCGTGCATGCGTGCTCAATGCTGAGCTGCCCATCAACTCGCGCTACAGCATCGTCGAGGAGTTCAACAAAGGCAAGTTCGACTACATTGTTGCCACCGACGAGCCGACTGGCATCAACAAGGAGGTTGAGGAGGGCAGCGATGACGAGTCTGCCGACGAAGGAGAAGATATCGCAGAGGACGCCAAGGATGACAGCACCAAGAAGCGCAAGAGCGGAGCGGCGGAAGGCAAGGCCGCGGGCAAGAAAGCAAAGCGCGAGGGAAAGAAAGGCTCAGCAGGTGCGGCCGAGTTCGGCGTCTCACGCGGAGTCGACTTTGTCAACGTGTCGTGCGTCATCAACTTCGACCTCCCCACCAGCGTCGATGGCTACATCCACCGCGTCGGACGCACCGCACGCGGCGGCGCCTCGGGAACCGCGTTGAGCTTTGTGGTGCCCTCGTCCGAGTTTGGTCGATCCAAGTACCTTAGCTGCGGGTCCACACGGCGCGACGAGTCGGTGTTCCGACAAATCCAACGTCGCAATGCCGCCGGTGGGGAGCTGCAGGAGTGGAAGTACGACGCGTCTTCCGTCGAGGGCTTCCGCTACCGAGTCGGAGATACGCTCAAGAGCATCACGCGTGCACTCATCCGCGAGGCGCGCATCAAGGAGCTCAAGGCCGAACTGCTCACCTCTGCCAAACTCCAGGCGCACTTCGAGGATCACCCCGACGACCTTGCTTATCTCCAACACGATCGCGCCCTCCTCTCCACCCGCTCCGGCCAGCAGCATCTCAAGCATGTGCCGGCCTACCTCGCACCAAAGATCATCAACAACTCCATGGCTCAGCCGCGTGCGTACACGGGCTACGTGCCCAAGAACAAGCCGAGCGAAAGGAAGAACCGCAAAGCAAGGAGCTCCACCGCAGCCAACGGCAAAAAGCCCGGCAAGAAGGCCGACCCTCTCCGCAAGTTTTCGAAGAAGTAGACATTTCTGCTCTCTCTCCAATGTCACACAGCCATACCTCGCATCGCTGCAATCACACTCTCTCCGCAGCAGTCACACTTTCCGCCTCTTCCGCACGTGTTTGTGTGTGTGTGAAAAATTGGAATTGCGCCTGCTTACTTTGAGTGCCTACTGAATCTCCCAAAACAGCCTTTTGTTGGGCTGCTCACTCTCCTGACCCTCGTCACCCGCGCGCTTCCACCCACGAACGACGGCGCTGAGCGGGATGATGTGGGCGGTCTTCGCGATCGCCTTGACCTCGTCCTCGCTCTGCACCTTGTGGGCGCTGGAACGGTAGGCGGCGAGCTGGTCCATGCGCGTCTTGGCCGCCCTCCTGCCCTTGGCCTGCGCATAGCCGGGCTGCTTCAGCTCGACCGACTCGACAACGAGCGAAACGCCGTCGTGCGAGTTGCCCCACGACCTCGACTTGATGCCGCCGCGCTGGCAGCCCTTGTACGCGATGAGCTTGGGCGCGATGCGCAGGATCACCGACAGATCGCAGCACGCGCGCGCAGCCATCGCTTTCTTGGCCTCCACGCCTTCCCTGCTGGGCTGCGCATCTGCGGCGGACGCATCGGCCATCTCGACATCGGCTCCGCTGGCGGCCTTGGGCTTCTCGTTTCCATTGACAGTGAGACCATTCCAGGCGCGTGCGGCGCGTCCGGGCGCCACCCAGGCTGGAATGCCCTCGGACTCGAGCGAGGGTCCCTCAACCCAGCCGGCATGCACGCACATGGCAAGCACGTCCGAGTCGTCGGTGTACACGTCGGTGCCCCACAGCTTGCGGCGCAGCAGCGGTTTCAGCCTCCAGAAGCGCCACGGTCTCTCGTTCCCGGTGCTGGACGCAGCAGCAGCCTGACCAGCCTCCGCGTCCTCAACTTCACCCTTTGGCTCCTCTGCGCCCTTGCCCGCCGCCTTGTTGTCGGCTTCCTTGCCGCCTTTCGGCACGTAGGGCTTGATCTTGTGACCAAAGAGCTGGGCTTCTGCAACCTTTTCTTCGATGCGCATCTCGAGGCTCATGCGCGCGTGTTCCTTGCCGCGCCAGCCGAGCTTCCAGTGGTTACCCGTGCCGTTGAGCGCCACGCTGCCGCGCTCGCCCTCGAGCATCTCCTTGAGCGGATCGCCGATCTCACAGCGCGCGAGGCACTCGGCCTCGAGACTGCGGTACTCGTCCCAGTGCGGGCCACCGGCGCCGCCGTTGTTGAGCAGCTCGCCGGGAATGCGCACCTCGAGCGTCGAGCCCACGTTGCGCGCAAGAAGCTCGGCGGGGAAGAGTGGGTCTACAGTGGGGTCGTAGATCCACGAACCCAGATGACGGACTGGACGGCCCTTGTCCATGCCAATCAGGTGGCGCGGCAGCGGGTCGACAGGCTCTTCAATGACAGGCAACGTGACGTCCGCCTTTGCCTTTGCTTCCGCCGACGGTGCCTCCTGAACGCCGCCCTCCTTGGTGGCTGGTGTCGGCGCCGTTGTAGAGACTGCAAGGCCTGCATCAGCGGCAGGTGCAGCAACAGCAGCATCAGCTTCTCCATCAGCCGGTTGATCTGCACTAGCGTCGGGGGCAGCGGCAGCCGCGCCTGCTTTGTCTTGCTTCGGCTCGTCTGCAAGCACATCGAGAGGGAGACGCTCGGCACGTCGGATCGACTCGTCTCGCTCGCACAGCTCAAGGTACAGCCAGACGGGCTCGCTATCGACGCGAGGCCCCGCATTGGGGTCGCGGATCACGAGAGGCGGCGGGGCAAGCGCCTCGGCGCCCGGACCAACGCCGCCGAACATGGCTGGATGGATCGCTGGCGGCAAGGGCAATCCAGGTGGGTATCCGATAGCAGCGGCTGCTGCGTGAAAGTCTGCCATGGTAGGCGGCCGACCATATGCGGCGGCCTGTTGATGTGCCGTGACGATCAAAGCTTCCTCAAGACTGCCGGGCGGCGGACGCACGTGTGGCGGCAGCTCGGCCAGTGGTCCTGGATGCATCTGCGCCGCTGCGGCTGCAGCATGTGCCTGAGCCTGCGCCTGGGCTGAAGCCTGCGCCTGGCGCTCGCGCTCCTTTTCGCGCTCGATGGCGGCCAGCTTTTCGGCTTGCTGCTTCTCCCGTCTGCGCTCCCTGCGCTCGCGCTCCTTTTCCTTTTCGCGCTCCCTCTCTCTTTCGCGCTCGCGCTCGCGCTCCATCTCGAGCTCCCTCTCTCGTTCGCGCTGACGTTCGCGCTCGAGCTCTTCGATGCGCATCCGCTCACGTTCGCGTTCACGCTCCATCTCGCGCTCTCTCTCGCGTTGGCGCATGCGCTCGCGCTCGTGCTCTGCCTCGAGCTCGCGCTCGCGATGCATGGCTAGCTCACGATCGCGCTCTCGAAGTTCGCGCTCTCGCAGATCGCGTTCGGAGGGAGGAGCGCCGTAAGGCGGCATGGAGGGTCCGCGGTGTGTGGGCGGATCGCGGAACGAGGCGCCGCCACGTTCACTGCTGGGCGAGAGCGGTGCTCTGCGCGGCGGAGGGGCGGCGGGGTCGAGCTTGCCTGGAGCTGGACCCATGGGAGGAGGAGGCCCGGAGCGTGGGTGCCGCTCTGGCTCAAAATGGGGCGGAACGGGACCGCTACCACCGCGTTCGTCGATGCGCGCGCCGTAACCCCCGGGCCTTGTCGATGCAGGCACGGACGATTCGCGCGAGGCAGTGGGGCCTGCTCCCGACTGGGATGTGGCTGACTTTGGCTTGTCCTTGCGTCGGTCACCGTCACGGCTCTGGATAGGGCTGGGCGGCGGATAAGGCAGCGGAGGTGCGGGTCCGCGATCGTCATAGGCGCGGCCGCCTGCCGATCTAGACGAGGGTGGGCCAAGCGGGCCGGAGGGAGGGCCTCGGGAGCCGTAGCGATCGTACATGGGCTCGTCGAGCATCATCGGTTCGCCGTGTCCGCGACGACCGTAACGATCTGCGGGCATGAGATCGCGGTCACGGTCGCGGTCACGCTCGCGCTCGCGCTGCATCAACTCGCGTTCGGACAAGGCCGGGTCGTAGGGTGCGTACGAGAGCGGAGCTCGCATGCGCTCTGGTGAGCGACCTGCAGGTGGCAGCATGCCGCCGGCGTGAGGCGGAGGAGGGATGGGACCGGATCTGGGATCGTCGTATCCTGCGCGGTAAGGCGCGTGGCGGGGCGAGCTTTCGGGTCCCATGGCGGCAAGTGGAAGGTCTGCGCTCGGTTCACGGACACGGCCGCCGACCGAGGGCGCACGGCTGGCGTGGCTCGGCGCTGGACTCCTACGAGGCGGAAGCGAAGAGGGATAGGGTTCGCGAGGGCTTCGAGATGGCTCGCCAGGCATGCCGGGAGGTCCGGCATAGCGCATATCGCCGCTAGGCGCGCGGCCATGCTGTGAAGGGGGCATGTCGAGGGGTCCGCCGGGTCTTTGAGAGGCTCTCCAGCGCATTTCGCGTTCCCTCTCCATCTCGTACTCCCTTTCGCGTTCCCACTCGCGCTCGCGATGGTAGGCCGAGGCTGGTGGAAGATCCTCGGGATTCGAGTACTTGCGCTGCGGTGGGGCTGATTGCGAGGATGGGCTGGTTGCGACATTGCCATACGACACGATCGGAGATCGCCGGTCGCTTGCGTGAGTGGGTGGCGCGACGCCGCGAGGCGGAGGAGCCGAGTACATGCCTGGCCGCGCTCGTTCGCGGTCGCGGTCACGGTCGCGCTCCCACTCTCGCTCTCGTTCTCGCTCCCTCTCGCGCTCCCATTCGTAGTCGCGTTCTCGATCTCGCTCGCGGTCGTACATCATGTGTCTGGGGTCGCTAGGCTCGGGAGGGCCGCCATGGCCGAGGATGGAGTTCATGTTCATGACGTCGGAGCGTGGCGACGGAGCGGTGGCGGACTGGCGCCAACGATCACGAGACGGGTCGTCCATGGCTGCAGAGGTGCGGGAAGGTGGGCGAAGAGGTGGCAGAGGATGGTTGGCAGCGCCGGCGGCGGATGGCGAGACTGGATAGGAGCGATGAGGTGGGCCGGGGTATCCAGACGAGGCACCGGGTGGAGAGCGTTGCTGGTGCTGCTGCGGCGGTGGCGGCGGCATGTTGTTGTTGTTTCGCAACAGCAGCTGGCTACCGATGAAATGGAAGGGGCTGCTGTGTAGATGCGAGGGGGAATGAGCGTGGTGGGGACGAAAGACGGAGGCGCCGGATGGGTGGAGGTGGATGAAGGGGCGAGGATGGATGGAGAGAAGAAAGCCTTTGCGCCGCTCGGACGCGCGACGGACGCGAGGGCGGAAGTGCCTGAGCCCAAATGCAATCCAATGCAATTTCCGCGCCGGCTCAAAAGCGGAGAGGGAGAGGGAGAGGGAGAGGGAGAGGGAGAGGGAGAGGGAGAGGAGACCGACAAAGCGCATCGACGCGCGCCGTGCGCCTTGCTCCGCCTACGGACGGCGCTCGCTCGCTTCGGCAGGTTGGCCGTGATTCGCTGCTGCAGCACCCTTGCTTCCACCAGCAGCGATAAAAAAATTAATGAGAAAAATGAATTGCTTTCGCCGCCAGCGTTGGCGAGTCTTGCTCGTGATTGCAGAGCTGATCAGTTCGATCCAATCCTCAAAGTCATACCGACTTCTGAGCGTGGGAGATTCGGCGGATGGACCGATGGCGCTGTGGAGGAGCGATGCGCCATGAGGTCGGGGAACAGCAAATCGCGCAACTGCGGGCGCTCATCAGCCGACCTTGGCTTTGAGGTCCCAGCGCGTTGATGCGGACGAGCCGAAAATCCGAGCTTGCCGTTCAAAGCCAAGAAGCAGCAAGCAGGGTCGCCGAGGCGCTCAAGCCAGCCGAATCACACCGCGCCGCCTCCACCTGCACGCACTGCTTCCTCCATCGAGCTTCATCAACCTCATCGCCTCTTCCGCTGTGATCAAAGTTTGGGCAGCCCTCGACCGTCACCGTCTAGGCACGGAGAGATGGTAGCTACGATGGCACGACCGACAGCGATCGGCTCGTCCGCTGCTCCGCACGATGCGGCAGGTTCTGATTCTTCGAAAGCCTTCCGCTTTCCGCCTGTTCACGCCTTTCCGCCATTCTACACTCTGCAGCCGAATCCGGTATCTCGCTCGCAGCAGCTCTCACAGTGGCGCACGCTCATCTTGGACTTCTGCCGCTACCACCGCATCTTCACACTGGCGCCGCTGCCCACGACTGATGCGCCGACAGGGCACGGAGAGGCCGCCGATCCGCACAAGAGCCTGTTTGCCAACCGCGCCATCCAGCGCAGCCTGTCACCCGAGGCGATACGGACGGTCCTGTCGGATCTCGTAGATCACAAGCAAGCTGCATGGGATGATGCGTCTGGCAAGAAGAATGCAGGCCCAGCTGCGGCCAACACCAACGCAAAGGCACTCATCTACTGGAAGACACCGGCGCAGTGGGGCGATGCCATCTACGACTGGGTCTTTGCTACCGGCCAAAACAAGAGCATCATGACGCTCTTTGAACTCTCACATGGTGACCTCGTACAGGGACAAGGTAAGTTGTGCGAAGCTGGAGAAGCAAGGCGTAGTACAGACTTTGACTCACCGAATGCCTTCATCTCGCGCAGATTTCTACGAGCTACCCACCGCCTTGCTGCGAGCGGCGCTCAAGCATCTCAGCACACAGGGCAAGGCGCAGATCTTTGCAGGCACAGAAGCGGGCGACGGTGAGGGAGTCAAGTTCGTCTGAGCCCTGCACAGCCACTTGTGGCTCGAGTATACCCACACGATTAGAGCCATGCACGACCAGCATTCCAATGCTCGTGATGACAATGGGCTGAATGCTGTTGAGATGTGAGACGTAAGAGCGGCTGGAGTGGAATGGCAAACAATCTATCCGCTGTAGTAGCGGTCGCCGTAGTCGCCGAGGCCTGGGATGATGTAGCTCTTCTCGTCGAGCCTCTCGTCGACCCAAGCCGAGATGACCTTGACCTGGGGGAATTGTGAATACATGTTGTTGAGGCCTTCCGGACTCGCGATGAGGTTCAAGAAGAGGATCTGTTCGGCCTTGACGCCGTTCTCGATGAGCACCTCGATGGCCTTGATTGCACTGCCGCCCGTGGCGAGCATGGGGTCGAGCAGCAGCACCCAACGGTCCGCAATGTCTTCGGGCAGCTTGGCGTAGAACAGCTTTGGCTTGGCCGTCTCCTCGTCGCGCTGGATGAGGATCTTGCCGATACGTACGCTGCGGCAGCACTCTCGCAGACCCGCCTCCATCGCCTCGCCGGCACGCAGGATCGACACTCCGCAGATGCGGCCCTGAAACTCCACACCCGAGTACTCGAAGCCCGTCGGCGTCATCACACTCTTGGGCACTGTGGGGAGGTGGTTGAGACCCTCCTCTACCAACAGACGAATGATGCGATCCGAGTAAAAGATGAAGTCGGATCGCGGTGTCGATGTGTCACGAATGATGGTGAGCAGTGCATCCAGCTGCGCCGTTTGCGGAAGCCGAGATGCATTGGGTGGCAGCACCGGGCCGGCCTGCGCCGAGGCTGCGCCGTTCTGTGCGACTGCCGTAGATGCCATGGTTTCCAGTGAGATCGTTCTATGCCCCTGGCGTGGTGAATCGGTTGGCCGAGATGTTCGTGTGAGGTGAGTGTGCGCTTGTGGGTTCGAGCTATATGGGAGCGCTGATGATCGTGTCGGATCGATTGTTGGAGCAGGCTTAAAATTTCGAGCCCGTGTGACCGCAGAGTGCAGCTTGACGAGTCTAAAAAATCGCGTTGATTCGCCTGTGCCCACCGTGGGACATCCGTGCGCGTTTCGGCACCGGGCTGTCGGATCCTCGGATCCTCGTTGCATGCCCCCGCGTGCTTCATCTGCCGCCATCACTTGTGCTGCACACCGTGCATGCCTAGCCCTCTGACAGCACGTCTAAAAGATAAGCGGGCGCCGAGTCCTCGCATGGCAGCTCGGATCTGCTTCTTGCTCCTTTCAGCCATTCTCCTTCGGCAAATCGCGCTTGTCTACGTGTCGAGTATGGATTGTGGCCACAGCCGCTTGCGCTGCGATCGCCGTGAACCAGCCAAGCAAAGGCGAACGAACGTGGCCGGCATGAACGTCATGATGTACTACTTGAGACACGTCTCCAAGATCCCGGCGATGAACGCGATTATGGCGCCAGTCTCCGCTGTGATGATATTTCCGATGAAAGGGGCACAAGATGACTGTATGGCACGCGCACAAACAAAACCGACTAGAATGCCTTGACGTTCTCTATGCAATGTCGTATGGTCGAGAGGATGTTCGACGGTGCCTGAATACTGTCATGCGATACACTCGCGAGGGTTTGAGGGGAGAAGGTACGAATTTCGCTATTTGCTATCCAATATGGATTGTACAGGGAAGAACGTCATGATGTACTACCTAGCTTACGTGTCCGAGATTGCAGCAATCAAGGCAATCATGGGGCTCATCTCGACAGTGATGATAATTTTGATGAAAGGGGCTCAAACCAAGTGCCTGACGCAGGGCACCTACAGCGCACATGGAAAGCCGGCAGTTTTGATGGCCACGATGGCCGCTCCGCAATGCCCAAGCATCAATTGAGGTGTCGGCGACGTCGGAAAGCTGCCAAGCCCCACACGTCAGTCAAATAACGATGGTTTCAAAGCTTTGACTTCAACGGGCATGAACGTCACGGTGTAGTACTTTCGGCACGTGTCCGAGATGAAAGGGTTGATCCAGAACATGGAACCCCTTTTCGGCTCCGTCCTTTGGTCTGACCATCCTCAAACAAAGCTGACAGGCTTAAGCGGGCAACCACGACAAATGAGTGTCTGCTCGGCAATTGCTGCAGTGGCGTGCGCCCTACATGATGCCGCTCTCGAACTCGATGGCGCCGCAGTCGGAGTTGTCCATGTGCTCGAGCGTCTTGTCGAGCGAGGCAAACTTGTTGAAGCAAGTCGGGCAGCGGGTGCTCGGAGCTGCGGCGTCGGACTTTGCTCGACTGGTATGGCGCTTTCTCGTTGCGCCTGCCTCGCTAGATCGCGCGTTGGACGGATTCTGCGGAGGATTCGGAAGCGTTAGAGCGAACGGCGACGACGAACGCGGCAGGTCGCCGAACGCCGCAAACGGCGTGCTTGGGCTCGATGGCGAGGCGGGCGAGGATAGCGCCGACGAGGCTGCAAGGGGTGGAAGCGAGGCGTCAAGCTTGGGCTTGGCGTCGTTGCTGGAGTAGAGCTCGCTCTCGCCAGTGCTCCATGGATGGGCGGCAGAGGCAAAGCTGACAGGGAACACGGGTGATGCGGACGCGAGCCATGCATTGGTGGACCGGCGCGGCCGTTGGGATGTGCCGATGTGAAGTCGGTTGATGGGCGACGTTGGCATTGAAGCGAAACCCTCCGAGCGCGAGTGCGCTCGTCGAGACGCATGCGGGCGCGATGCCGACCCGGTCCGGGAAGTCAGATCGTCGAAAGGGTCTGTATCGCCGTGCAGCTCGTGGTAGGATGGCGGCGCATCGTAGTCTGGGGCGTCGGCGCTGTGAAGCAGAAGATCCGACTCGCTCATGTGACGCATGTTGTCGGGACGACGATCGTGTCGCCTCTTGTCCCTCGCACTCACACTCGCGCTATGGTCGCGGTCGCTTGCTTTCGAGCTACCCCAGCCTGCTTTGGAGTCTTTCTTGAAGGCAGCTTTCTCGTCTGGATGCTCGGTGGAGCCGGCCGTACAGAAGCTTGCGTCCGAGTGGATCGAGGCGGCATCGTCGTTTTCCCAGTCGAAAGCGGGGATCTTGGGCGGGAGCGGTGGCGCTTGACGCCGGGAGATGGTGGATTTGGATGCGACAGACGACGAGGTGGAGCTGCGAGGACGAGGTGGGAGAGCAGGCTCGGGCATAAGGGCTTGAGTTGTCGCGCTTCGTGCACGCGATCGCAGAGAGCTAATCTGAGGTGCACTGGAAGGCCCAGGTGCTTTTGAATCCTCATCTTCGTCTGACGAGTATAGCGGCTGACCGAAGGGATATGAGTCTTCTCTTCGCAGTAGCGGAAACGCCTTCTGCTTGCCCTTTGCCTTTGCGCTAGGACTTTGCGGAGCGCCATCTCCGTCCGCATAGTCGGTGCCCGTCTGCATCGGTTGTTGCTCGGCACTTGTGGCGGTAGTCAGGTTCGAAAGCGTGGGGAACTTGCGCAGGAGCGCGGGGCGATCGATCCTGTTCTCTTTGTCCTGCACGGCGTAGAATGCCTCCGCCTCGCTGAAGCCGGCAGCGACCGGTGCAGGCTCGGCGGCATCGACAAGAGGGGCTGGGGCTATTTTGGTGCGTCTAGCTTTGGGTCGGATGAAGGAGGCATAGTCGTGGCTGTCCGAGTAGTCCGAGTGGTGTGGAAGGAGGTTGAAGTGAGAGCTAAGTTCGAGAGCATCGCGGAAGCGGTTGCCACACTTGCGGCAGGTGAGGGAGCGGTCCTTGAAGGTGCCATCGGGCGGCGAGTCGGGGATGACGCCGGTGATGGTCTCGAGCAGCGAGTTGGTCCGAGACCGGAATGTGGAGAGGAACGGTGGCATGCTGGATCGATGACGGCTACGCGACGTCAAAGGCAAGATGCAGCCGCAGACACAGAGAGACAAGCAGAGACAAAGACTCGGAACAGGGCCGACAGGAAGTCGGAGCGGTGGCTAAGAAAGATGGTGGGTCGATGAAGAGAAGGGGATGCGTATGAAGGGGGTGGAATAAGCACTCACGCTGATTCCAAGAGGTCAGCACCCACGGACAATGCGAAGCAAAGGCCGCCCGGCGATTATGTCTGGATCTCAAACGGAGTGTGAGCATCGAGAGCGAGCTAGCCAAGTGTGCTATTGGGATCAGAAGGCTGCCGAGCTTAGCGAGCAGGGCGCTGGTGCCCATCGATCGGCGGCTGGGCGAGACTAGAGGGAGTCGTTGACGTGTGCCTGCGTCTCTCGCCTCTCCTCGCATCTTTGAAGCGGGAGCCGTAATCACAGGGCACAGGAATTCACGAATGGTTGCTGCCGCCATGGCAGGAAAGAAAATAATGCCAGGATGCCAGAGTGCTGATGCGGGGATTTGGAGCTGTTTGCTGCGCGGGAGAGCGGGCTCGCATGAGAATGTGCGTCGGGGCGACGCGCTGGGGCAGGACAAGCGAGCTCGAAGAAATGCCCGTGGGTCTGGACGGCGGCTCATGCGTCGCAGCGTGCTCGCCGTCGAGATTCAGCCGGGTTGGCCTGGCCAGAGGCGGGAAAGCGGGCGGGGCGTCGCTGGCTGGGCGGGGCGAAATCGCGAGCGAGGTTGACGCCAAGTTGACCTTTCCGATCGAGGGTAAGCGCCCAATTCCCACCATCGTCTGCGGCCCGTTGACAGGCTTGGCTCTCTCTCGACGTTGCCCCGGCGCGCAACACGACGCTCCAAAATGCGCATGGCAGACAGGCATAAATCCCACGCAAGCTTAGCCGAAATTATGCCCGGCCTGGCCTGCTTGCTCGCTTCGACCCGTCCTGACAACGTTTCCACCTTCCGACGGCGGTCCATCCCGTCCGTACAATCACGCTCAACGCGACCAGGATGAACGGAAGCGAGAGAAGCGCAAGAGTGCACTCTGCGCTAGATCTACTCAAACAGCAAGCAATTTCGTGCTGACGAGGAGGGTTGCCCGGTCTGCATGGCGCCGGGAAGCTGAAATGTGACCGATGTTCGAGCTCTTTTCTCGCACATGCGCTTTTAATCTGTTTGACATTGTTAGAGCCTGTTTGCTATCGGAGCTCGCAGAAAAATCGGGTTACACGTGACGTTGGCAGATCCGTGCCGTTTTCCGAGAGTGGCCCACTTGAACTTCACATCCACACTCTTCGCGATCCTCCTCCATATCTCCATCTCGCACGCCCTGCGAAACTTTGCTCTAACGATCCTGGACGACGCTTCAGGAACCAGCGCATCTACACATATCCAACCGAGAGGCAGCGCTATTCAGTCTCACTGCGACTTGGCCCACTCGCACTCGGTACGCCGCGCTGCGCCCAGATCAACCTCTTCACGACACCTCGGCTTCCATCTGCGAAGCGCACATTACCGCCACCATGCCTCCCACAAAGCCCAAGGGCGGCAAGATGATGTCGCTCATCAACTACCGCCTGCGCATCACGCTCAACGACTCGCGCCAGATCGTCGGCCAGCTGCTCGCTTTCGACGCTCACATGAACCTTGTGCTCGCCGACTCGCAAGAGTACCGCAAGATCAAGTCCAGAAAGGCCAAGGCACGCGCGGCTACAGCGGCTGATGCGGGCAAGGCAACTGCGGAAGATGACGAGGATGACGATGCAGCAATGGCAGGCGCAGCAGATGCTGTCCTCGAGCAGAAGAGGACGCTCGGTCTGCTCATCCTCCGCGGCGAACACATCGTGAGCATGGCCATCGAGGCACCTCCCCCGGCAGACGATAGAACGCAACCTACAGTAAGTATACGTGCATCATCATTCCTAGAAGGTATCGAGACACTGACAAGGCTCGCTCTGCATTTGCATTGTGTAACAGATGCAGCCCGGCCCTGGCAAAGGTGCGCCGATGGGACGAGGCATGGGGTTGGCCGTGCCGCCCATGGCAGGCGCACCGCCACCCATGATGGGCAGACCAATGCCCTACGCACGTCCACCCATGCCCGGCGCTCCAGGCATGCCTGCGCCTGGCGGCAACATGCCCGTCGGCCCCCCGCCTGGCTTCCGCCCACCGGGCTTCCCCGGCATGCCAGGCGGACCGCCCCCCGGCTTCCCAGTGGCCCCACCAGGCGGCTTCCCGCCCCGTCCTCCTCCTGGGTAAGTAGCTGCACCGCAGTCTTCAACCCAAACATCACGCACTCGAAAACTGACCACGCTCCTTGTCATTCCGTCTACTCCCTTTGGTCTCCGTTTCAGTTTCGGCATGCCGCCGCGCCCACAATGATCGCACAGCGCGCGCAGTTTCACTGCCCTGCTCTCGTTTCTACTCTTGTCCCGATGCCAAAAATTGTACTCATACCATCCTCTCTTTTACTCATCAGCTGTGTGGGCACGCTTCTACGTGGAGAGAAGCACGGTACAATTCGCGCTTCTGCTTTTCAGCGGGGTGTGGGTAACGCGAAGTCCAAATTGGCGCCATTGGTACGAGTCAAATCGTGAGGTATCTGTACAAAGTTCTAGTGACGATGTCAAGCGGTGGAGACCATCTTCTGGGCCTTGCGGATGCGCGCACCGAAAGCGATGAGCACCACCAGCATGGCCAAGGTGACGGCTGCCGTGACGACGGCCTGCACGACAAACGCCTTTGTGAAGCCTTCGAACGACCACTCGGGCACAAAGAATGGCGCCGAGAAGGCCAGACAGCACTTGACAAAGTTGAAGAGCGCAATGCCGTGCACCGCCTTGGTAAAGTAGGTCTCGATGATGTACGTCTGCAGAATACCACCAGCCGCCGAGTTGGCCACGTAGTAGACGCCGATGCCGCCGATCACTTCGACGGGCCAGTCGAGCTTATTCTGGTATCCAATTCCGTAGAGCAGCAGGCCGATGACGAGCAACGGCACCTGCGGCAGCAGCGCCCAGAGACGGTACTCGGGCACACGCGGGCCATCGGCCGAGCCCGAGTTGCGGCGCACAAAGAAGTTGACGGTGGAGTCACTGACGAAGCCACCGGCGAACTTGCCAATCAGCGCACCGACGGCGGCGGCGAGGAAGGAAAGACCGACCTGGACGTTTGTGAAGTGCCACGGAGGACGCGGGAACACCTGTGGGCTCACCACGGTGAAGCCGACCGACCACATGAAGATGACCGCGTAGACGATTGAAGGCAGGATGACCGGGAGGTACATGGCCATCTTGAGCGGAGCGACGATCTCGCCGACGAAGCGCCCGGGCTCCTTCCACGGGTACCATGCGGCGCCGATGCGGCCGTGCGAACCGCTCTCGAGCGCACCTGCAGAGCCACCGAGAGGCGGCGTGGCAGTGCCGTGTTCGATCGAGTGCGAGTCCTTCTTCTCCAGATCGTCGATGCGCGTCGAGGCATCGTGTGCAGCCGCGGGTGCCGAGCGGTTGGCGGTGTACAGCGTTTCGGGAACGAAGAGCAGGATGCAAACCCACAGTGCACCGGCCAGGATCAACGTCAGATAGTAGACTGCAGCGCAAGAGAGTCAAATCAGAGGTAGATTAGATTAATCGCCTGATCAATGCCGAGCGAACAAGAGTGACAACTTACCCCAACGCCAATCGGTGGTCCTGGTGAGAATGCCTGCGCCGATGACAGGAGCCGTGACGGGTCCAGCGATAAGGAGTACCGTCCAGGCAGCAATGGCCGCACCACGATGCTCAGGCATGAAAGTCTCGGAGATGAGCGAGGCAGGCACGGTCTGCGAGACGGAGCCGGTGAAACCGGCAAAGAAGCGGGCAGCAGCAAAGCTGTTGAAGCTGCCTGCCCTCGAGAGCCAGACAGTGCACGGAATGTAGAGCGTCCAGGCGAGGAGGTAAGCGGGACGTCGCCCCACGGACTCGGAGATGGCGTTCCACAGCAGCGGACCCGTGCCGAGACCGAGAATACCGATGCCGATGGTGTTGGCGGTGGCGGCGATGGTGACCTTGAAGTTCTCTGCGACTTCGGGGAAGGCAGTGAGATGGGCGGCGGCCATCTCGTTAGCCGCAAAGGCGGTGAGCGAGACGGTGGCGAGCATGAGCAGCTTGCGCCATGTTGGCAGGTTGTAAGGGTGCTGGGGGTCGGGGTGGTTCAGCTGACCCGTCCTCATGATGACTGTGGCCGCAGTGGCAGAGAGCGCTGTAGGAGAGGGAGGTTAGAGGAGAGAGGGGAAAGGTGTGGGGGGACGATGACGAGACGAGGATGAGGTGAGGCTCGAGGGTTATAAGTACGAATGCCGCTCAGTATGTGCTACACAGTGGGCATTGGCAAAGGAGCGAGTGGTCTGATGGGAGGCTGCACAAACCGAGACGTGGGGAAGCTCACGATTGCATCGGCGGACACGAAGGGGGCACACAGGATGACCCAGGATGGATGCATCCAGGCACGCATACGGCGGAAATAAGCCATCAAGGCACATGGCCTGCGAGACTAGCGCTGTCCAGCTGACGATCTGCCAGGCACGCTGCTTGGCGTGCGGCCGAGGGTGTGCAAAGGACGGAGCAGGCAAGAGTAGGGTGGATCAAAAGTGCAAGGCTCGGCTATGAAGACGAGGTGAGACCCAAAGTTTTTTCTCTCTTCGGTACACACGGCTGGAGAAGCGACTCGGCGTGGCGAACGCGCGCGTCGAGCGAGTCCAAGGGATAGCAACGCGTGCCATCTGGTTGGCATCAATCGATTGATTGAAAGCATGGGACGTGCGCAGGGAGCACACGACCCAGAAAGGCGGAAAGCAAGCTAGAGCAAAGGTGCGAAGGTCGAAGAGCGCACTGATGGCAGGGGTGACCGTTGGAACCGACGGTCGGTGAGAGGGTCAAGTCCCGCGGTGGGGCCGAGGTTGAATCTCCGCATGAAGCTTGCCGACGGCGCGTGCGGGGAACCTCGGCAGTTGAGCGGTATTCGTGCACAACACGATCCTAGGAATGCCCGCTTCTACGAGCCGCACCGTGCAACATTGTCTGCAGAAATCGGAAGCGGAGCCCCGCGATTCTCACGCCGAGATCGTGTGGCGCTCCGAGATGGGCATTGATTGGATGGGGGGTGCCCGCGAGCTGAGAGTATCAATGGCTCCAGGCTGTAGCTGTGGCCGAAGTCGAGGAGGGCGGAGGCAAAAAAGCTCCGCGGCATTGCTTGAGAAAACGACAAAATTGAACGACTTCGCCGCGACTTCCTGCCGAAATCACCGGTCGAAGCCGTGTCTCGCGCGAGAGACCATGCCATGAGCCTCGTTGTCGTAGAGCAGCATGCTTGCCAACGGCCATGCGTTGCAGCCCACCGCTGTTTCCGTTGCACCAAGCAACTCGACCGGCCGAATCAGATGTCTGCGCGAAGCCTTTCTCGCACGTCTAGATATCCACCGAGCTTGCCGCTTACCCCGCGCTTACCCCGCGCTTACCCCGCACAGGTTGGCGTCCGCAGATGTGAGCATGGCCACATGGCGAAAGCATGGTGTCGAAAGAGCTTGGCATCTATGGCGCTCGCTTCGCACTTTCCTGGGTGTGCGGTTCTCTCAGCCGGGCCTCTGTGCGTGGACTGAACGCAGGGTGCAGGCTTCTATGCACCCCGAAACTCAAGCCTGTCTAAGACGACTGCCGCGTCGTGTGGGTTTCGCGACACGGAGCTAGACGTCGCAGAGTCGCAGAGGCCGTAGCAACGTGGCAACTTGGCACAGGTCTAGCGTGACGAGAGGGTCGCGAACGTGATGGCGATCCGTCGATATCGGGCTCTGGAATCTGCTGCCGATCTGTCCTTCAAGGCGGCGACCGGCATGGCCGACTTTCAAAATGAAGTGGCGACGCCTTGCTCGCCGCAGACTGTGCGTTTGTATGACTTGCTACGCACTCCTTGACAGTCACCTCTCCGTAGCCCTTGCCACTCGGCAGACCGTGTATCGATATCACGGCATGGTGAGACTCGATCTCGCGGTGGTGACCGATATGGTGGTAACCGATGTGGTGGTGACTTTGGCGGTCACTTCGCCCCGCACTGCGGATTTGGCGGTGTCCAAATTGGCGCTCGCCTTCACACATAGCAATCCGTGAAACGCCTTGGCCATGATGCTCGAAGGGCCTGCTTTCCTCCACATGGCTGCAGCTTCCCTCCAGCCGGGCGCTGCGAGTATATGAACTCATACACGTCGACGTTCCTCCACGCCCCCACACAAATCTCCAACGCCTGCTATCTCGCGTCTTGCATTCAACAATGTCGACAGAAGCAAAGACCGCTGCCTTTCGGCGCGAAGACGTCAAGTTTGCCTCGGGCAGCGACCTGTGTGCAGCGTGGGTGTACCATCCCACCGCTGCCCCGCTTCGCCCCGCATCCGGCGAATCGCGCCATGGTGATAAGTATCCAGCAATGATACTTGGACATGGACTCGGCGCCATCAAAGAGATGGGTCTCGACCGCACGGCCTCCCGCTTCGCAGAGCTCGGCATCGTCTGCGTCGTCTTCGACTATCGTCACTTTGGCGAGAGCACCGGCCAGCCCCGCCAGCTGCTGGACATCAACCTGCAGCTCCAGGATTGGGACGCCGCCATCGACTATATCTCCAAGCTCGAAAGTGTAGATGACCAGAGGATCGGCATCTTTGGCAGCAGCTTCGGCGGCGGCCATGTGATCAGTGTCGCGGCCAAGGACAAGAGGGTCAAGGCGGTCATCTCGCAGTGCCCCTTCACCTCGGGCTTGCACTCATCCCAGACAGTTGGACTTCTGCCCCTTCTCAGACTCGGTGTACTGGGTCTGCGCGACCTATTGTTTTCAAGAGGCAACGACATCGTTCGCGTTCAACTCGCTGGCAAGCCTGGAGAAAGTAAGTCCGCCCAGTCACATTCTCACTGCTTTTCACAGATCCGAGTGGGCTCACCTCCGAATGCCTTTGCTTTGCCGGTCCAGCTGCGCTCATGAATGCGCCAGATGTGTTTCAGTATCGCCAGCTCATCCCGGAGCACTTGTTGGATGTCGTGCCGGACTACGTCGCAGCGCGTTTCGCTCTCGCCATCGGCTTGTACAACCCGGGCTGGAAGACCGCCTCGGTCGCCTGCCCAATCTTCTTTGCAGTCTGTGGCAGGGATTCCGTAGCGCCGCCTGGCCCCACCCTCTCCTATGCCGAGAAAGCGCCAAGAGCAACCGTCAAGCTCTACGACAACATGGGCCACTTTGACATCTACGTCGGAGACCACTTTGTCACTGCCACCAACGACTACCGCACCTTCCTCAAGGCACACCTCTGATTTTCATCTGGACAGCAATGCATTGCAGATATATCACTGGGTGCAGTTCCGATCGAGTGCGATCGAGCGAGATTCTAGCGCGAGATGCGTTTCGGCGTGCGCACGCGTTTGCTCGGCGTCGTCTTGGCACTCGATGGGCCGTCGACAAGATGGCGGTCCCAGCGCGGCTGCTGCTCAAAGATGCAGTCGGTCACCAGCTGCTTCTTGAACAACTTCAATGGCTCGCCGTCGATCGTACTTCTGCCGACAAGATGGCGCCATTCCGCCGAGTGGTCCTCTTCCACCACCAAGTGGCAGTGATCCGGGTCCTCGCGCAGTGCCTCTTCGTCCCACTTTCCTCGGCCCACCTCTCCACCCGCAGCTACGATGAGCGAGGCGAGCGAGCCAGTGTCATCCACGCCCCGACCCAGCCAGAACTTATGCCCGCAGTAGATGCCCTGCGCGAACATGCTCTCGCGGCGCTCGAGCACCTCGGCAAGCTGGATGCCGTACGCCTTTTCGCCCTCGCGGTCGACGAGCGCATAGTCAGCAGAGGACACGGCGGTGCGCTGCTTCATGCACGCTCCCAGCCAGTCGGGCGACACGATCGCCACCGCACCGGACGCGATCGCGTAGAGCATCTTGGGCGAGCGCGACAGCTTGGGTGTCACGAGCACGTGCGCGCGCTCGATCGACTCCACCACCACAACTCCCGCCGCGCGCAGCTTGGTCTCGTCGGTCTTTTTGAGCTTGTAGTTGCTCGTCGCCACACGCACCTCCCCTTCCACTTCGGCGACGGAGACAACAGCGGTCTTGAGCTTCTTGGTCGCCGACATGTCCGCAGAGGGCGAGTCGGCAGACGCAGATGATGGCTGGTTGGTGCTTTCGCCAAGCACAGTTCGACGGCTACGCTTGGTGCCGCGATGCGAAGATGGGCTGGCTGGCACGCTGTGTGTGCCATCGGTCGCATCGGCTTCCGACGAAACATTCGCTTCACCTTGACTGTTGCGGCGTGTCGGCGTGGCCGGTGGCGAGGTGTGCTCGATGTGTGTCGCGTCTGCGGGCGCTGCGACATCGGTGGTCTGGTCCGAGGTGGGTTGGGGCTCCGACGTCGCTCCTCCTGACCCTGTCTCCGCAGACGATGTTTCGCCGGCGGCATAGTGCAGCGCAGGTACAGCTGGATCGCTGGTGGGCAGGTCGACGGGCTCGTTGTTGCTGATGGCGTCGTCGATCCACGGCCCAAGACTCTCGTCCGTCACCCTGGTATCGCCGACGTCCAGGTTGTAATCTACGCCCTCTGGGAAATCAATGTACTTGAGCTTGGCCCTCTCGACGGGCGCCCAGGCCAAGAACGAATCGACGATGTACTTGTGGTTCACGACGGGCACGCCCCAATCCCTCGCGCGCTCGGTCTTTTCGCTCGCCAGATTCGCCGCCACGCACAGGGTCGTCTGTGCCGTGAGCGTGCCCGAGAAGGTGGCGCCCATGAGCTTGACCATCTTGGTGAGGTACTGCCTGGTTGCGCCGCGGTAGTTAGAGATGGTGATGGCGGCGCCCTGGAACTCGGCGATCGGGGTGCGCGGAACGGGAAAGTGCAGCGGCTCCTGGCGCGGGTCGCTGAGCCGATCGTTGGAGACGACCCAGATGAGCCAGGTGAGGTTGCCGACCTGCTTGGACTGGCGGATGGCTTCGCGGAACTCCTGCACCTCGCGGTAGCGGCACACGACGTAGTCCGAGTTGCGCACCGCCTGCGCGATGCCGTCGAGATCCGACGGCGCACGGCGGATGGTGCCGCCCGAGTGGCGGACAAAGTGCTCGAGCGACCGCAGCTGCTGCTCGCTCGCGCGGCACACATCGCGCGCCAGCAGCAGGCTCTTGCCACGAAATACGTCGCGCGTGCTCCCTGCACTGTTCATACTGCGGCTGCTGTCGCCGACCAGGCTCATGGCGACGCGGTCGCGTCGAGGCGAGGTGAGCGGCGAGCCGCTCGCGGTCTTGCCGGCAAAGCACGGCGGTAACCTTGCCTGACCGGGCAGGAACTGGTACGAGTCCAACGGCAGCCGCTTCTGCAAGCGCCACGAGTCGCTGATCCACTGCGGTGCCACGCAGATGGTCTGCTTGCCCGGGCTGTTGAGGATGCGCTTGAGCTTGGTGCCCGAGATGGAGGTGGTGAGCAGCACGTTGACGTCGAAGAAGTGGTCTTCGCGCCACAGCCCTCCGTAGGCGGCGACGATGCTGCTGATCAGCTCGCGGTCCGCCTTGGACACCTCGGACTTGGACGCCGTGACGCAGAGGCCCGAGAAGATCATCTCGGCGCGGCACGAGAAGCGGTCCTCCTTGAGGCGGATCTTCAGGTGTGCGCTGCGACGCACCCAGTCGGGCTACGATCGGATCGATCGGATCAGCCGACGCACCAAGGGCAAAGCAGGAGAGCAATCGTTGCGGGTCAATTCGCTGCGGACCATCAAGACTGAGCAGGAAATCAGAGCGTTGGAGTTGCACTTACAGTCACAACGAGCGGTCGCTTGGCGTCAGGGCTGGCCTCGGGCAGCGTCGGCTCGGTGCAGTGTCGATACTCTTCGAACTCCACCGAGGTGGCAATGACGTGCGTCACCGCGTCGAGCTCAAAGCGCAGCTGAGTCGAGGCCGATGCGCTTCCACTTGGTGTCGAGCTGGGATTGTATTCCCGCGCGCCGCCTTGGAACAGCAGTTTGCGAATCTGCAAAAAAGGCGCCAAGTAGGGTCAGCGCGACGTTACAGAACGGCCAGTCTCAGGCTGCGATTCGATACTCACTTCATCGTGTGTTGCGTGGTCGACATCGTCGTTGATCCAGAACTGCACGTCCGCGAACAGGTCTGGAGGCGTCTGCTGCGGCGGCACCGCCTGTGTCGTTGAGGCCGAGGACTGCATCCTGCGCGTTTCCACCCAGGGCTCCCGGTCGTAGTTCGAGTGGTCAGGAAGTTTCGCGGGAGGTTGCTCGCTAGCCTGTTCGATCGTATCGTGTGTGTGGACGTGAACGGCGCCGGTTTTGCTTAAGACGTGTGCCTAAGGAAGAGAGGGGAAGATGGTGTGCTGGAAGCATGGGTCTTCGTCGAGGGGCATGCGTGTGGAGCGCGTTGCGAGGGAGAAAGTGGAGCAGCGCGCGTGTCGCGTACATTGCACCGCGAGGCATTCCTCCGCCTTTTCGCGGCACCACATCGCTCTTGCCTTGCGGACTTCCCGACTCAGCCGAAAAGGTGTTGGTCTGGCAGCCAAAATTTCGACGCGTCGAAACGCGTTTCGCCAGCACGCGTCGCCGATTCTTCTCGGCTGCATCCCTCAAACTCAGCTCGAGTCCGAACCGGACTGACTCGTGACTCCCTCTCTCTCAAAAGTCTTTCTCTCAAAAGGCTACTCCGAGGAGCAACGAAGCCACACGCAAGCCAAATGCCGAGAGCAGGCAGTGTTTGACGGGAAAAGAAGCTCGTGACGATTCGTAGGAGTGTGGTGATTCGGAAGGCATTTGTAACGGACGGAGATAGCGAGCAGCGCCGACCCGGAGACGGCCTCCGGCGCGTAGCACTTTAGGCGGCGGGGGCAGCGTCGGTGGAGCCCTGCTTGTTGTAGTCCTCCATCTCGGCGTCAAGGTCCTCGACCGTCTTCTTGGGGCGCGCCTCACGCTTGGCGCCACTGCCGCTGCCGTTGCCACGTCCGCCGCGGCCGCGCTTGGCAGCACCGGCAGGAGCACGGCCACCTCGGCCCTTGGCTCCGGCGGCGGCGGCACCCGCTGCACCCTTGGCACCGCGCGCACCAGCTGCTGGCGCCGCAGCGACCTTGGCGGGGTCCACGACGACTTCGACCTTGAGCGGCTTCTCTGTTGACGGTGAAGCGGGTCCAGGCGAGTGGATCAGCACGATGCTTGTACGGTAGTCTGGATGCTCAGCGTCTGTACTTACTGCCGTCGATCAATCGGTTGTTGTACTGAGTGTAGGCGCGACCGGCGTCGTCGGCGCGCTGGAACTCGACGGTGCAGACGCCCGTCGACTGGCCGTTGGCGCGGTAGCTCATGGCCACCTTGCGCAGAGGGCCGATGGTGGTGGAAAAGAGTTCCTGCCAACGAGAAGGGATGCACGTGGAGTCAGCATTCCGTTCGAAAACCATGCATTGAGTTCTTGTGGTGTGCGGGGGTTGCATACGAACCTTGACTTGTGCCTCGGTGACGTCAAGAGGCAGGTTGCTGAGGATGATCTTGCTGCCGGTGTTGGCGCTGCGGCCGGGGATCACGACGGGGGGCCTGTTGCGGTTGGAGGCGGCGATCACCGCGGCGTTCTGGGCACCGGCGCCGACGGCGGCAGCCTTGGCACTGGGACGGCCGCTGCGGCCACCCTTGCGTCCGCGCTGGCCGGTACGGCCGGCACCGGCACCGGCACGCTTGGGGCGAGCGGCAATGATCTCCTCGAGGGCTGTACAAGAGACAAGAGAAAGGCAAAAGGCGATGCATGCACGGGTGCGAGGCAGATGACCGCAAGAATCGTTTGAGGGACGGTTCATCGCAAGCAGCGTTGGAGGGTGCAGGTCGGAGTGTGAGCATGCAGTGCTGCGGACAAGGTCGAACGCGAGACGGATCAAGCCGGAAAGAGCAGCGCAGACGAGGCGCGCACGTGTCACGATGGCCGTACTTGCAAGGACGCTTGCACCTCGCTACCACGAGGAGTCCCTTGCACGGCGAAATTCGGTGAAGGCATGTGGCAGTCGCAACGATGTTGGGGGACTTTCGGTGCATATACCAGTGTGCGGACCAGTGGTCGGCTTGATCCGAGATGCACATCGGCAAGCCCTTTCACCTTGGCGGCTGTTGGCGCTCGTTCCCCTACGGCAGCGCGTCGTGGCAGCCGCAATGGCTGCCCTTCGTCTCGTTGCGTGTCTCGTGGCTTCGGCGGTACTCACGCTTGTCAATGTTCATGGACTGTTGGGATGACAGCAGCACGAAGCATTGGCGTAGACGAGAGTATGCGGAGAGAGGCATCGTGAAGATCGCATGATCGTGGCAAAGGCCAGATCCGAGTCGCATGAATGGACCGTAGGATCGACGCAGCATCGTGATCGGCAGCAAATGGCACATGCAGAGTAGGAGTGTGTGCATGGCGAGAAGCGCGAGTGACGAGCAAATGTGCGACCGTTCAGAACGAGAGAGCGCGGAAGAAGCCGTAGGTGGAGATGAGGCAAGCCGGACGATTGCATTGGCGATAGAGACCGCGATGGCGGTGGGGACACCAGGGTCGAAGTTCGCAAAAGAGCCGAGTCGGGGCGGTATTGGAACAGCAGCATGGGCGGCAGCAAGGCAGAGGTTGCGGAAAGGTGGAAGTCGGAGAAGCAAGTTCGGTCAGAATTCGATGTTCCCGTGGCTCGGTCCAAGGCGAGACTGATGGTGTTCGGAGGCACGCTGAGCCATGACCGGAGATGTGCAAGCTGATTTTGGCCGATCGACACTAGCTAATCGAGCTTTTTCTGTCTCCTAGGGGCAGGTTACCGAGCAGCACAAGCATCGCGAAGCCTGCGTTCGCTACATTGCCGTCTCCGTCTGTCCTTGCATCTGTACAGCATCGTCGGCCGTGTGCCCTCCAATCATGCAGATCGAATCGCAGTCCTTCGGGCCGCGGATCTGTCACTCGTTGGTGTCCGCATGGCGGAGTTGACGCGCGGTGCGGATGCACCGAAGCATCGGCGCTGTCGATGCTTGCTACAAGCGACCGACGTGAGCTCGAGCGAGTAGCAGTCAACGCTGGGACATGCCTCGATGATAGCAGTTGGCGAGTATTCGAGATGCGAGTGTGGCGGAGGACGCGTCAACGGACTGCGCTCCGATCGGGCGGCTTGTATGCGCATGGCGGAGCAGGCTCGGCTTGCAGAGCAGGAGAGGTGACAGCGGATGCGAACAAGGACGTGGACGCGAATACGCGCGTGGAGGCAATGTGCGAGTTGGCGGGGATCGCGATGCGAGGCCAGCCCGGCTCGCAACGGCAGGTGGATGGAGCTGGGAGTTGTGGCATGCTGACCATTTTGAACAGAGATGGGGGTTGGTTTGAGGAAGAAGGGTGTGTTCGTGTGAAGGGCTGGTGTTGGATGCGGCTGAGCTGATGCGGATGGAAGTGGCTGCAGAAACAGGTGATGGTGTTGAGGGAGGGTGTAGAGTGCGGGCGTGCAGGAGGGTTCTGCTCAGCCGCTGTTGCGTTGCCCGCCTCGTTTGCGCAGCGGTGTGCGCGCGCGACGAGTCAGTCCATGCGGTTCGGCTCGACTCGACAGAAGCGTGCACTGCAGACCGACCCTGCGCAGCCGCCGACTCGAAGGCTCGCCAGCGAATGTGTGATCGTTGCTCTTGTCGCACGAAAAGGGATTGTGCAATGTTCAGGACGAAAGTGTAACATTTCCAGAATCAATTGGCGAGCGGATCGGCAGCGTCTGCTGATCACGGGCAAGAAATGGGAGCGATCGGGTCTGGGACCGGATCGACCGACAAGAGTGCGGTGCGGCTGACCGCTGCTCTGAAGAGGTCCAAATGTGAAACCAACATTGCTGCAAGGGCGACGGCGGGTCTCAGTGTCTTTGCACAGCCATGCAGGTATGTGTGCATGCGATATTTGAAGTGAGCTTGGCCGTGCCTGGTGGACGCCGCTCTGACACGTGAGTGGGCTGCCGCTGACGTCGGTGGCCGTATGGCACTGGCGTCCAAGGCGTCCTTGTCGACGTCAAGCGCTTCTTGACTGGTCGGTCTGAGTCGCCGATCCTTGCGAAGAAAACCGGTTTTGGGTCGGCGAGCATGCCACCGAACGGCGTCCTAAGGGTGCCATGGCCGTAGCCGAGGGATTGAGAGAGCCACCGCGTCAAGTCAAGCTGGGCTGCGCTTTTTTCAGGGGGCCGCGTCGGCACCCCTGGATTCTCGATTTTTCGACGCTGCCTGGCGTGAAATGCTGTCGAATGAGATCCGAGCTTATCGTAGCCTCAACTGTGGATCTGTCTGCTGTATCGGCTGCCTTCCGCGATCATGGACTCACATCGAAATATGCGAATGTTTGCGAAAGGCGCAAGCAGAACGAAGCCAGGAATGCGAGCAAAGTGTGTGTCTCTGTGTGCTGTGTGCGTATCTGTGAGTAGGTCGGGGGAGCGCGACGAGCTGACTGAGGGCCAGGCGCGCCAAACCGACAAGCTCAGGCTGGCTTGCCGAGGAGCGAGTGCAGCAGCTTGCCGTCATCTCGAACTCGAATTAGAAGCACCTCCGTTCGCACCCTCCCTCTCTCGCCTTGGCTCTCGTCCTCGTGGACATCGGGCTCAGGAACCGTTCAGGTATTCACTGTTCGCGCTGCACAAAACGAGCGAGGCCAGAGCCGTACCCGTACGCGCTTTGAAGGGGTCAGAATTCAGCTCTGCGGAGCCCAGAAATCACCGAGCCTCCAGAAGCTGGTGCCGCCAGCGGGGCGCGAGCGATGAGCTCCGCTGGTCAGGGGGTCCCGTGGTCGAATCGAGTCGGATGTTCAAGGAGAGGGGAGCCAGCCGTGGCCATGCAGGCGTGCAGAGGCGCAAAAGCACCCCAGACTGTCTAACAGCTCGAAGGTGCAGCAGTTGGCAGTCGGCCGCTCCAGCAGAGCAGAGCGAGCGGCCCTTTGATTCGAGTTGGGTGGGGGTTCCTTCGCACGGCCTGACCTGCTTGCTTCGTTTTGGGCGCTGGGCCGTGTGACTGACGCGAAGAGCACACTAAAAAAAAAGAAAGGAGGCAGTGCCAGCGCCAATTTCACGTCTGAGCATGAATTTCACTTTCTGCGTGGTCTGCGCTTTAAAACTTTGGCGTCGGTCTGAGCCAGCCAAGCCGAAGGCAGAGAGGGTGACGGCAGTGTGGCGACGTGCTGCGTACGCTGTACCAGCCAAGCAGGGCGTCGTGATGAACTCAAACTCGACCTCCACTGTCAGCTGCTGCAACGCTTCCTCCTTACTCGCACCTCCCACTCTCTCTCTCTATCTCCTCCTTCACTCCCGTCAGCCATCGCAACCGCCATCGCCATTGTCAGTGTCACGTCTCGTTTCGCTGTCCAGGGTGAAGTCGTCGTCGCGCTCCCTCCTCAACCTCAACCAGCCCTTCAGTAACGACCATCAATAGACGCCCGCATATCTCCTACAGCGACCCTCCCCTACCTCAAGCACTCAATCACCAAGTCGAGCTGGCTCCTTCGTGACATCGATCCTTTCTGCCAGACTCGTTGCCAGACTCGTTGGCTCCACTTGCAACCGTCTGCCTGCACGCTTTGGTAGTGAGCGTCGCTCCAGTCCAATCGATAGGGCTGCAACGGTATTCACAGGGCAAAGAGGCCGCTCAGCTCCTATACACGCCAATCAAGGCTAGAACACCCACTTCACATCGCGTGGCCCTCGGTGTGGCGCTCGTAGCCTGCCAGCCAGTTCCTCCACCATGACGCCCTCCCAAACCCTCATTCACCTGGCAGCTCGCGCCGAACAGAGCGGCGTCGTGCCCAACGCGCTGATCGAGCAGCTCAACGCCAACGGCAGTACCGACATCAAAAAGGTCGGCATCACCCTCGTCGCCTTCATCGGTCTCGGCCTCTTCACCGTGCTTGCTTTCCAGATCCTCCGCCCCAACAACAAGATCGTCTATGCGCCCAAGTACAAGTATGCCGAAGATGGCAAGGCTCCCCCCAAGGCCTCCGAGGGCTTCTTTGGCTGGATCCCGCCCATCGTCAAGTACAAGGAGCACGACCTCCTCCCTCTCATCGGCCTCGACGGCGTCACCTTCCTCCGCTTCATCCGCATGATGCGCTGGATGCTCACCACCCTCGCCGTCCTCATGTCCGTCGTGCTCATGCCCGTCGACATTGCATACAACGCACGCAACGGCGGCGGCAACCTCGTCACCAACAAGCTCAACTACCTCAACATGTCCAACGTACACGGCACCTACATGTGGGCTCACGTCGGCATGAGCTACGTCGGCACCATCATCGCACTCTCCTTCATCTGGTATCATTACCGCGAGATGGTCCGCCTTCGCTGGTCCTACTTCCGCTCCGAAGAGTACCAGACCAGCTTCCACGCACGTACCCTCATGCTCACCGACGTCAAAACGCGCTACCAGTCCGACGGCGCGCTCGGCGCCGTGCTCTCGGAGCTCAAGATGCCCTACCCGACCACCGAGGTCCACATCGGCCGTCGCGTCGGCGTCCTCCCCGAACTCATCGAGAAGCACAACGACCTCGTCCGCGACCTCGAGCACGTCCTCGCCAAGTACCTCAAAAATCCGAATCAGCTGCCCTCAAAGCGTCCCACCAAGAGGATCGGCGGCTTCATGGGCATCGGCGGCGAACGCGTAGATGCCATCGACTACCTCACCAACCAGATCAACCGCGTCGAGGCCGCCGTCATGCACCAGCGCGACACCATCCAGGAAAAGAAGCCCGAGATGTACGGCTTTGCCTCGCTCGCGGCTGTGCCCTACGCCCATGCCGCCGCCAAGGTGCTCAAGGGCAAGAAGCCCGGCGGCATGCGCATCGCGCTCGCACCGCCGCCCACCGGCATCATCTGGAGGAACCTCACCCGCTCGCGTGCCAGTCGCGCAAAGTCGAGCTTCTTCGGCTTCCTCATGCTTCTCGTTCTCTTCTTTATGAACATCTTCCCGCTCATCATCGTCTCGCTCCTTTCCAACATGGCCGCTCTCACCTCCATCTCGTGGCTTGGCTGGCTCAAGTCCTGGCAGAGCAGCAGCTCCTTCACCTTTGCTGCCGTCTCGGGTCTGGGGGCTCCCATCATCATGGGTATCGCCTCCTTCTTCTTCCCGCTCGCCATGCGCAGGATCGCAAAGTACCGAGGCGTCCAGACGCGCTACAAGCTCGACCGTCTGCTCGTCGGTCAGCTCTTTGGATTCCTCGTCGTCTCCCAGTTCCTCTTCTTCTCGCTCATCGGCGTCGTTCTCTCGCTCGTCTCGCAGCTTGTAGTCGAGATCAACCACAACAGTGCTCTCGCCATCATCGAGAAGCTCGGTCGCAACGCCGCCTACGCCACCAAGCAGCAGTACCTCAACCAGTCCAACTACTGGCTCACCTGGCTGCCTCTTCGTGGCTACATTGCCGTCTTTGACTTGGCACAGGCCATCAAGCTGCTCCTCGTATGGTTCCAGAAGGTCTTCTTCGGACGCACCCCTCGCGACGTGCGCGAGTACACCAAGCCGCCCGTGTTCGACTATTGGATCTACTACGCCAACTTCCTCTTCATGGCGGCCGTCGCCATGATCTACGCGCCGCTCGCACCGCTCGTCGTCATCTTTTCCGCCGTCGCCTTCTGGATGAGCTCGTTCATCTACAAGTATCAGCTGATGTACGTCTTCGTCACCAAACACGAGACCGGCGGCATGCTCTGGCGACCCGTCATCAACCGTCTGCTCTTCTGCATCGGCTTCATGCAGGTCATCCTCATCCTCGCCGTCGTCCTCGACACGCTCAACTACTACCAGGCTATCGCTGCGCTGCCGCCTATTCTCATGCTGATCGGCTTCAAGATCTACTGCCGTCGCACCTTCGACGACCGCTTCGACTGGTACATTCCCAACGAGGCCGAGATTGCCGCCTCCAAGATCCACGGCGGCGATGCGCGCCACAACCGTCTGCAGCGTCGCTTCGGTCACCCGACGCTCAACTCGAAGCTCTTCACACCCATGGTGCACGCCAAGGTCAAGCACCTGTTGCCCCAGGTGTACAAGGGCCGCCTCGAGACGGGCGTGGCGATGGTCGATGGTCGCAAGGTCGAGACCGATCAGGTGGCCGGCGGTCTCAAGATCGCCGCGATCGAAGAAGACCAGCTGGAATACGATCCTTCCAAGGATTCGGACGCGCGCTCCGTCATGTCTGGCACCACGCTTGGTGGCATGTCGATGGCTCGCGGCGGTGTGGGCGTCGGTACTCCCGGCAGCATGGGCCCACCTCGCGGCGAGTACTTCAAAGACCAGTACGCCAATTATATGGCCGGCGGACCGATGCACGGCGGCGAGGAGTTTGAGATGTCGAACGTCGCCGCGCGCGACAGCCGCGACAACCTTCTCGAGAAGCGTCAGAACAGCCTGTACAGCGAGTCGCTCGAAGACACGCTTACAGGCACGCCCTACGGTGGCAAGTCGTCGCCCGAGGCCGGCATGGGTGCGCACGGACAGTACAACAGCTACTCGGTGCAGTCGACGCCTGGCTACGAGGCTGGCATGCCCCAGCAGCCAGGCTACGTGGACCCATACGGCCAGAACGCGCAGTCGTACGCGCCTCGCATGGGCGTCCACCACAGCGCCCAGGGCAGCCAGACGAGCCTGGGCTCGTACGGCAACATGCTGTACGGCAGCAACGGCGGTGCGCCTGCTGCCGGGTATGGCTCGCCGGGACCCCAGGCGGCATATGGCGGCGCTCGAGCACCCACGCCGGGCGAGGCTCAGCAGATCTCTCCCGGCACGGTGATCGCGCCCACGCCGAACCAGTACCAGGCCGGCGGCTACACGACCTCGCCGCCGCATCTGCAGCAGCCGCAGCGATTCATGGGCTCGCCACAACGGCAGGCGTCCGGCGACTATCCATACCAGCCCACAGGCAACTATGCGCCAGGACAGCATGCGCCAGCGTATGCGCAGTCGCCGCCGCAGGTGACCATGCACGCTGCAGGCCGCCAGCCTCAGCCTCAGGCGCACGCCCAGCACCCAAGCGCCGGCAGCTACTATGCGCCATCGCACGGCTCGCAGCCCGGATCGGGCCAGCCACGCGGTGGTCTGTACGGATACCAGCGCTAGTAGCCTTGTCTCGGCCTGTGCCTCTGTTTACTATCGACTTTCGCCTTCCCCTCGCTCTTTTTCTGGTGCTGTACAGTAATCAACTCAAAGACGGCACAACTAGCATGTGCTGCCTCTGGACAATACATTTTTCACCCTTGCTTGGTCGTCTGCAACTGAATGAGCTCCATGTTGCAAGTGCGGCTGCAGTAGAGGTGGGATTGGGTTCAAAATGTGGGGCCCTGAGGTCGGCGGCAACCAAGCACATGATCGCCGAGATGAAGAGATAAAGATGAAGGAGGCTCGGGATGCGGGTGCATGGGCCATCTGCCGTGCGGTGCCAGCAAAATTAGTTGGAGGCGGCTGCAGCGGGCCGCGAGGTGGAGAACGAGTGACACAGAGTGGAGTGTGACACTTCCAACGCCCTTCCTCGCCTGACTGCGCCCTTCTTTGGCCAGAGCACACCACGGCGTCCAAGGTGACAGCCAACCAACACCAACCCTTGCCTCACACAAACTCATACCCGTTTCACGACACAAGACGATACGGGAAAGCGGCAAGCAGCACGCAGTCTAGGAGACCGTTTTTCAGCCTCGCACCGATAAGAGGCTCTACTTGAATGCGGTCATAAAGTGGCGTGAAGCGAAGCCATGTCTGCTCGCACTCAGGACCCGGACCTGGAGGATGGCTCGACTACGGCGCAACAGACGCAAGAGCGCGACGATGTTGGACATCAGAAGCCTTTTGCGGCAGACTCGTCGCTTCTCGCCCCTGGACCGCACGCAGAAGCTGCATCAAACGAACAGAGCCCAACAAGCTTGCTTCCGCCTCCCTCCCCGGCACCGGACTCGTCGGTCGGAAGTCCTCTCAGCAGTACGCATCACGACAGTCCCGCCCCCACATCGACCTTATGGACGCAGTCAACCGCCGATTCAGAACCTTTCCGCCAAACAACGGCATCGATGGAGCGCGATGAACTGCTCTCCGTCCTCGAGGCGCTACACAGATGCGCGCCGGACGATCTGCAGACCAAGCTACATCTCGGCGGCCACCTCCATCGCATGCTCGTTGAGGGCACTTCTCATTCAGCGCCACCAAGAGCTCACAGCTATCGCGACGACTTCCGCCAAGCCGGTGGCTTCCTCGTTGTCATCCAGCTCATCTCAACGCTCGATGGAAACAAGGCCGAAGAGGGCCAGGCAGAGCTGCAGGTGGAGATCTTCAAGCTCGCGCTTGCGATCCTAGCCGCCTCGCTCGTTCAGCATCCCGTCAACCTCAAGGCGTTCGAGACCACGGTCGGGTGGAAGGGCTTACAGGATGCAATTGGCATTGCCGCAAACGCAGTCGTGCCGCCAGATCATGTCTATGGCTCGTTGTTGGGTCTGGCCGTCGCAGACGTGGCTACGTTCGCAGGCAGAATTGTCTCAACGCGGAGATTCCTCGGCGATCACGATCCGAAGCAAGGAGAGGCTATCACTCTGACCGCAGAGGAGGCCAGAACGACTCTGCTCATGAACAGAGTCAAGGACCAGTGGACACCGGTACCAAACGTGGTTTTTCCTCAGACTATTCGCATTCTCGTCCAGCTTCTGCTCGGTCACGCCGGTCGCAAGGACGGGCAAGCTCGGCTCGGCTTGGATGACGAAGGAACGTCCATCGTTCTTCACACGCTACGCAGGTTGGTTGCCACGAGCCGCAGGAACCAGACGGCCCTCGCAAACTTTGGCCTCTCGGCACTACTGCTCGATGCCACATTGCCCACCAGTGTCGACGATGATACAGCCGCCCTCATCGAGACTCACCGCGATCTGGTAGCTCAAATTTTGCAACATCTGTACGCTGCCGCTGGAATCCCCGACAAGGACGGCCGCAAGCTGCTCATCTACCTCTGCACGCCCACTCCGCAGCTCCAAGATTCGGATGCAAGCGGCCAAGACGATCGTCATCGCGTACTGGACCTGTTGAACGAGGTCGCCAGCACCTCGCAAGAGCCCAACATGGTGCTGTTCAGCATGGCCGAACACGGACATGCCTCGCTCGCCTTTTCCAGCCTCCCGCGTCCGTTTCCACCGTCACCATCTACCTCGAGTGGTTTCACCTTCATCACCACCTTCTCAATCGAACGATTCGAGCCGAGTCTCCCTATCGACCTGCTCACGCTGTACGATGCCCACCGCTCATTTCACGTTCAGCTCGCCATCGAGCCGGGTACAGGCCTTTTCAGCTACACGACCTCGGCCGCCTCATCCGTCCCGCCGACCAGATTCAACAGCTTCGCCTTCGCCACTGGCCGGCGGTACCATCTCGTCTTCGTCCATGCAAGTCCGCGAGGCGGCGCGCACATGTCGCCAGCCAGGTTGTTTGTTGACGGCGAGCTCGTTGAAGAGAAGCTCGCGCCCTGGGCAGAGCCTGGTCGCAACGCGGCGTTCAGCGGCAAGGCGGCGGGAGGAGGCGCTGGCCATGTTGCCAATCCCGTACGCGCCGTACTGGGCTCGCCGCCGCATTCTGGCTTCGAAGCGCATCCGAATGCAGCGCAAGCATCACGCAGCCGTACCAACAGGCTCGTCTGGTCGCTCGGACCGACAATGCTGCTAGATGACGCCATACCGAACGATTTGCCGTTGGTTTTCTACGAGCTTGGTCCACGATACACGGGCAACGCACAGGACTCGCTTGGTCGCTTCCTCACCTACAGTGCCAGCGCCAACATCAATCTACGACTCGACCAGGCCGCTCGCCGGCCCTCGGCATCAGCTGCGTCGAATGGTGCAGCCAGCACAGTGGCGCTATCAGAGAAGGAGCTGTCGAACTTGCCGCTTGTCACCGCCATCGCAGGCAGGGCGAGCGATCTGATCGCCGAGGAGCGGTTGTACTTTGTCATCAATGCAGCCAACACGGCGACATTCGACCGCTGGAGTGCAGGTGCTGGCCGCGCTGCGGCTGCTGCGAACAGCCAGTCGGATCCCTCGAAGCGATCCGGCTCGCGCGTGGTGCTCAACCAGGCGGTGCCGCTTAATCGAGAGGCCATCGGTGCCTCGTTTGGACTGGCCAAGATGTATGGCGAGCCCGCATTGCTCGTACCGCGTCCGCTCGACGAGGTGATTTGGAAGCTCGGCGGCTGCGCTGTCCTCCTCAAGCTCATTGCCGATGCCGACTCGACCGCGACGCTCGCCAAGACGCTCAATCTCTTCCTCGAGCTGATCTCGCGCTCGTGGCGCCTGAGTGAGGACGTGGAGCGCTGCCAAGGCTACGAAGTGCTTGGGTTGCTGCTCGGCGAAAAGAGCCACCTCTTCAACGCCGAGATCGTCTCGACACTCTTCATCGCGATGGGGATCGAGATGTCGGATGCGGAGACGAAGGATAACTCGCTGTTGGTCAACCCGTTCCTCTATCGGATCATCATGCTCGACTTTGAGCTCTGGTCGCGCACAGAAGAAGAGCTTCGCATCATGCATCTGGAGCATTTTGCCCTTTTGCTGCGTACATCGCGCCACAGGAGGTTCAATGCCAAGCGCATCGCCAAGATGCAGATCGTGAAAAAGTTCATCCACGCCATCCGATCTGGCATGTACGAAGGGCAGTCGACTACGCTTGTGGTCGACGCGCTACGAGCCGTGCTCTCGCTCTCCTTCACCGAAGCGTCGGTGCGCATCGTGACGTCCTACCTTGCAGCGCAGCTGTGCCGGACGACGGAACCTCAATACCAGGCTAAAGTCGAAATCGCGACGACGTCACAAGTCCGGCCGAAGCCGAAGCGGGCAGCAACCACCGATGCAAGCGAAGCAGGAATCTCTGGCATCAGTGGTCCTGTAGCATTGCCCTCCTCGTCTCCGATGCGGGTGCCTGAAGCATCACATTCCAAGACACCAGACGACGTTGGGCAGGCACTTGCCATCTTCGAGCTACTTTCGCAGATGCTGGCGGAGCGGCGTAGCCACCTCTTTCGCTTTGCCGATGTGGTCAACGTAAAATGGCTGCTGCTCTTCATTCACCCGCGCGCCGAGACGAAGGCGGCCGAGCTGGCGCTGCAGATCCTCACGCGACTCTTGCTGCATCCGGAGCTGGAGTACGCGCAGCGCTTGAGTACGTCAGGCGGCTTCAAGGTGCTGGAGCGTCTCCTGCCCCGATTCTGGTCTGCCTCTTCCGTCCTGCCGCTTCTTTGGTCTGCGCTTTTCGGTGTTGAGGCGCCCTCGCCTGTGCCAAAGCTATCTACGCTGGTGCCTCTGCCGACACGCGGAGCGTCCAAACCAATCGCGTGCGCGCCAGTCTTGCGCGCGATTCTCTCGTGTCTCAAAGAGGGGATGCGCACAACAGCGGCCAGGAAGAGCGGATTGCCCGGCCGCTTGCGGCTCATTCGTTCGAGGCCTTCGGAAGCGCTCGAGGCGGAAACTACGGAGCTTTCTTCGCATCACATCGTCGCGGCTGGAGCGTCGCATCGCCGAACGCATACGCGCCAGCGCAGCCGTTCGATGAACGTCGACCTCAAAGCTCTTGAGCAAGCGGCGCAAACGACCAACGAGGTCACCGTGCTCATTGAAACAATCGAGCTCTTGCAGGCGTATGGTCGGCACTCTCCGGAGCTCAGAGAGCTGATCTTCTCGCCCATCATCCTCCGTGGTTTGGTGGACTGCATCTTTCCTTACGTCAGGAGTAACAACCTGACAGCTGACGCGGACCAGAGCTTTGGACCCAAAACCCTGGCCGCAGAGGACAAAGGCAGTGCAGGGACTCGGTCACGGATGGGAGGTCTCGATGCCACGACTGCCGACGTGGTCGAGATGGCGGACGCGTTGCTCGTTCTCGTAGCACAGCTGGCGGCCGACTCACTGCTATCGACGGGCTCCGTTGCCATCCTCTCGGCGATCGACCAGGCGCTGCCGCCCACCGATCTCGCGCAGCAGACCGTGTTCCGTTGTGCACTGCTGGCCGAAACGACCCGCAAGATCCGGCTTGTGATTGCGAGCCAGCCTCGCCAGGCACTGGCCTCGGCTGAGACCATCGCCCTGTTCATCGAGACAGCCTCAGACGAGATCCTGTCCGGTCAAGCTGAACTGGAAGAGCAGCTCTTACAGGCAGCACTGGCCCTGCTCCGCGTTCTCCCGCTTTCGGAAGATGGGACTGGCGCAAAGATGGATACGCGGGCCGCAGCCACGCTCTACATGAGCCTCAATCGCATCATCCTGCTGCGAATTGCAGCCTGCCAATCCGATGCAAAGACTTTGGATGGAATCCTGCAGAACCACGAGGTAGTTTTGCATCCCGCGAACCAGGACTCAACCTTCTTCGAGTGTCTGGTCAATCACCTTCTGCACGTCTTGCGCGTGGCGCCGGGCTCTGACGACGCTCAGGAGCCTTACATCAAGGCGTTCACCTTCTTCAATCTCGTGGCCTTGGCGAGACCTGCGGCAGTAGAGGGCGCACCGCTCGCAGCTTTCAACGAATCTCAGCAAAGGAGCGCCATCGACAACGACGGCACCGAGGATGCCGCTCCACCAAGTCCGCTTCCCTACGAGGCAGCTTGGAACAGCTTTTCGAAAAGTCGAGAAACGCTGCGGGCGGCAGCACACATGGAGAGGCTTCAGCAGCTGCACGATTCCCTCCGCCGCGTCGACAACCGAGAGCAGCTGGTGACGAGCACCGAAAATCGCATGGTCGCCTGGCACTCTAGCCTCGTCGAGGCGGAAAACGTGCGTAAAGCCAAGTTCGTCAATGATCTTCGCGAGATGCAGACGTTTGCCGGTATGCAGTGGCGCGAGCTGCAGTTCAGTCTCACGAGAGAGCGGGCGCTGCTGGATGCAGGCAGTAGTCAGAGTGCAAAGCCGATCTGGCGACTCGATCCAACCGAGGGCCCCGATCGGATCCGACTCAAGCTTCAACGAATCGATCCAGGGATGCTTCGGAACACCGACATGGCGCCCCAGATGAGCGAGGCGACCCTCGAGCCGGCAATGGCTTCATCACCCGGAGATGCCGCGAATGGGGAGTCGTGGCACGGTGCAGAGGCGTCGATGGACGACGCTCTCGTCGTTCCGCCCGCATCAGAGGCGTCGACTCGTGCAGCAGAGGCTCAAGCACCCGATGCGGCCTTGGAGCTGCCTGATGTTGCCAATTCGAGCGCTGCCGATGCCTTGGGCGAGTCGTTCCACGAGGACAAGTACCGGCGAGTCCTGCGTTCCCTCGAGCGCGGCGACGTGATTGAAGCCGTCTTTAACACCTCGCGCGTTGTCGGCATAGAGTCGCGAGGCTGCCTGCTCATCCTCGGCAAGCTTTGCGTGTACCTGATGGATGACTATTTCCAACGCCCGAACGGAGAGCTCATCAACGTTTGGGAAGCACCCGCCGAGGAGCGCGACACGCTCGTCATGGCGACGCTGGCCGGCGATGCATCCAAACCGTCGGACCTCATCCGCGACCTCGAAGGTGAGGCTCAGACGCGCAAGTGGGCGTGGACTTCGGTGCAGATCTGCCATCGCCGCTCGTGGCTTCACCGGCGAACTGCGGTGGAAATCTTCTTTGAAGACGGACAGAGCTGCCTGGTGGTGTGTCCGGAAACAGCCACTGCGCAGAAGATGCATCGGGAGCTGCAGATCCGCGCTCCGTCCGCAGTGTCATCGGCAGAGGCCATGCGCGAAGCGATCCGTGAAAGAGTGACAGTAGGCGTCTCGTCGTCTTCGTCCTCGGCTGCGTCCGCGTCTGGCTTCGGATCCAGGCTGGCGGGCGCAGTGCTGGGACGCTCTTCAAGCTGGGGCGCCATGACCACGGCGTGGCGAGAGGGCCGGCTGAGCAACTTTGCCTACCTGATGGCGCTCAACACGCTTGCTGGGCGCTCGATGAACGACCTCACCCAGTTCCCGTGCTTCCCTTGGGTGCTGGCCGACTATACCAGCGAGGAGCTGGATCTGACTGACCCGGCAACCTTCCGAAAGCTCGAGCTGCCCATGGGAGCCCAAACGCCCATTCGACGCAAAGAGTTTGAGGATCGTTACGTGCAGCTTCAGGAAGTCGATATGGACCCGTTCCATTACGGCACGCACTACTCTACAGCGTCGACGGTGTGCGGCTTCTTGATCCGCACGCGGCCCTTCGAGCGCCTGCTGATGGCATTGCAAGGCGGCAACTTCGACCTTGCCGATCGTACGTTCGGTTCGGTGGGCAAAGCGTGGATGTCGGCCTCCGAATTGTCGCGAGGCGACGTGCGCGAGCTGCTGCCGGAATTCTTCTACCTGCCCGAGTTCCTCAGCAACACGAACCGGTTCGATTTTGGCATCACGCAGGCGGGTGAGGTGATCGACGACGTCGAGCTGCCTCCGTGGGCCAAGCAGGATCCGCGGTTGTTTGTGCTCAAGCATCGCGAGGCGCTCGAGTCCGAATACGTGTCGCAGCGCCTGCATCACTGGATCGACTTGATCTTTGGCTATCGATCGAGGGGTCAGGAAGCTGTTGAGAGCACCAATGTATTCCATCCGCTCAGCTACGAGGATGCGGTCGACCTGGACGCGATCGAATCGGCCATGGAGCGGCAAGCGGCGGCGCAGGTGATCCACAATTTCGGACAAACACCATCGAAGCTCTTCCATCATCCGCATCCGCAGCGCAAGCGCCGGCTGCATCCGACGTTACCGGCGAGCGACCGATTCGGGCTGCTGGAGCACCCACGTCTGGTGGTCCAAGGCATCGCGCCCGTACGGACGCTCAAGAATGCGGTGCACTTTATCTATCCGCTCCATCCGGAGCGAGCGTTTGCCTCGCCCAGGGACTACCTCATCCTGCCCAAGCTGGGCGTCTCGCTCTCGACGGACCACTTGGACGGCAGTCTGCGCATGTACAGCTCACGCGACGCCAGGCGTCCGCTGGCCGCGGTGGAGCAGATGGTTCCGGACCGGATCACGTGCATCGCCCAGGCGCGGGCCAGGTCGATCGTAGTTGGAAGCTCTGACGGCATGGTCAGCATCTGGGAGCTCGATGGCGCCAAGCGCGAAGTGACGCTGTCGCGGCTGCTGCGAGGGCACGACGACGCGGTGCTGTGCGTGGCAGCCTCCGCGTCTTGGAGCGTCGTGCTGACTGGCTCCAAGGACGGCACGGCGATCGTTTGGGACCTCAATCGAGGCGCATACGTGCGGACGCTGCGCGGGCATGATTCGAGCGTGCATCTGGTGGCGATCGACGAAAAGACGTGCCATCTGGCGACGGCGTGCGGTCCGGAGGTGCGGCTGTGGTCGGTGAACGGCGAGCTGCTGGCATGTCTGGCGACGAGCGCCAACCTGTCCGAGCCGATCTCGAGCCTGAGCTTCCTGGAGCGAGACTACCACGTCGGACGTCTGGCGGTGCTGCTGACGGGTCACCGTGGCAGGGTGATTGCCTGGGAGGCGGTCTCGGTGCATGCTTCCGCCGCTGCTGCCGAATTGTCTGCCGGGTCCAAGCGATCTGTTTCCGGTGCAGGCCAATCGCTCCGGTCGAGGCAACAACGCCGCATGGTGTCGGAAGGCAGTACGCACAGCGCGCACCACGGCCCTGCCTCACCATCGTCCGCCGAGCTGGTGTGGCGACTGGCCGCGCTGCACATCTTTGACCACCACGATCGACTCGGAGGCACAGAGGTTGGCGGGGAAGCGGCCGGTGCAGCTAGGGCAGGAAGCAGCGGAGCGACGCGCAGTCGGCCGCCGCTCGTCACTGCCATCGCCACGACGCCGCGGATGGTGCTGACGGGCGACGAGCACGGCCGGCTGTACCAGTGGACGCTGATGGGCGAAGGCGTGCCGGTGCCGGACTCTGTGGCGTCGCACTGCATGAACGCGAGCTGCCGTCGACGCTTCGGCATGCTGGATGGACGCCGTCACTGCGCGGGCTGCGGCGGCCTCTTCTGCAGCGCGTGTGCGGCGGCGCACCGCTCGATGCCCGCGCAGCAGCGCTTCTGCGCGCACTGCCACGATGCCATCGACGGCTCCGGCTATTTTGACGACCTTTCTGGTCTCGATTCTTCCAGTACAAGCGGACAGAGTTGAGGCGTCGCTGCCCTTCCGCACTACGACCGCGTTCTTGGCCTCCAAGCCTCGATGGACTGAATCAGCATCCGTGCTCGTTCGGAGCCTTCCACGGACTTCTAGAGCCATCAAGTGCAATGCAAAATGTCACAAGTCACGGCTGCAGAGATACTCGACAGAGCTTGTTGCCTGCCTATTGCAAGGGCGGGCCTGCCATTCCTAGCGGAAGCGGCGAGTCGCTGAACCTTGAGCATCGGTTGCAGCCGCTCCCGTCGGGGTGACTGAGTAGTGGCAGTACGGAAGGCGCGCACGGAGGGCGGGCACTTGACGCGTCTCGAAAGCACGAGAAAATTCGACAGGGTTGTGGAGGCGTGTGGACCCTACGTGCAGCTGCGTGCAGCACACACCCGCTACCCGCTTCATTTCATTCTGTCACATGGCGGAAGCGGAGCGTATCCGCTCAGCTCGAGCGCGGTCCTTGACAGCGCGCAAGGTTTGCAGAGCGGCTGCTCAGTCACGAGCTGACTACCGTCACAGTCAAGAGCGCTTCCACGTCAGCGATGCAAAGTCAGAGAAGAATCGAGACTCTTCCGTCGAGGTGCTGCGGGCCAGTCCCAAGAGCTGTCGGAAGGTCCGTCCGCAGCCACCGCCATCTGGACAGGTTTTCCCACGCCCGTGGATTCGTAGCTTCGGGACTCGACTGGAAGCGTGCGTCCAACTGGCTCTCGCAATGCGCAATGGAACCAGCTGACCATGACTCCGCCTCTCCAAGCTCGCCTCCACAGGGCGACCCTCAGCGATTCCGAAGAGCAGGCGGATGCAGCTTGAAAGGTATAAGAAGAGCACCACCTCGATCCACCGCCAGACCTTCCCCATCCAGCTTCAGCAAAGATCGATCATCGACACAGCACTCTACTCACAGCACATCTATCTTGCGACTCTACTACTCGCTATTCCCAACTCACCCGCTCGCCACTTTTGATGCGCCAAGCCCTTCGACTCCCACTCCCGAGCTCCAGGATCGCTGCCATCACCCGCAACGGCTCCGCCACCCGCTCCGCTAGCATCTCGCCTCTCGTCAGCGCCCGCCCCAACAGTCTTACCGCTCCCACCGCACGCAGCTTCAGCACCGCCCGTCCCGCCATGTCTCTCCTTCGTCCTTCGAGCTTCTTCTCTTCGCCGCTGGACGACTTTGACATGTTCCCGTCGTCGTCGCTGCGCGATCTGATGCTCATGAATCCGTTTGCAGCCGCAGCTGCCGGCCGACCCAACGTGACGGCGGGCGACTACCGCATCTGGTCGGGCCCCAAGGTGGATCTGCACGAGGAGGACACCAAGTTTGTGCTGACCGCCGAGCTTCCGGGCGTCAAGAAGGAGGACGTCAAGATCAACGTGGATGCTGACCGACGCAGGCTCACTCTGGAGGGCCATCTGAAGAGCGAATACAGCTCGCAGCCTGCCGCTGCCAACGAGGAGGCTGCCATCGGCAAGGAGCACGCCAACGGTGGCGACAAGGACGCTTCGTCGACCCAGGTGACCAAGAAGGAGCAGACGAACAACGCCGTCGGCCACGCACTCGTCTCGGAGCGCGTCTACGGCTCGTTCAGCCGTTCGTTCACGCTGCCGCTCACCGCCGACCTTGCCAACGACGCGTCGCTCAAGGCGCGCTTCAACGACGGCCTGCTGCGCCTCGAGATCCCCAAGAAGAAGGAGGAGCACTCGAAGACGCGCCAGATTGCCATCGAGACGGCCTGAGCGCTCGCCTCCCTTGTCTTGTCGCAAGAGGTTGGTCTTTTCCGATCGTCTCTTGTCTCTCAATTTCTTGACTGCATCGATCGATCCATTTCCGCACTCGCACTCGCGTTCACACCCACGCTCGCATTCACTCTCGCACTCGCACTCGCACTCGCATTCGCCGCTTGTTTCGCAATTTCGAATTGATTGTTTCTCCCCCAATCTTGAACCTTGTTGAGACGCTCGAGACGCTCGTCGAAAGAGAGCGGTCCCGAAATAAGGTTGGGTGTTGAGTGCTGAGCAAAGTGGGTCTCAGTGCCGGCATGGCGAAAAGCGCAGTTGCTGGACCCGTGCGTCAAAGCGTGATCCTCGGCGACTTTTCCTTGCTCTACGCAGACCCTGACGAGGCTGTGAAGAGAGCACGCTTGAACTGGCTCGGCAAAGTTGGCGCAGATCCGGCACCCGGTGAATTGGCACAGCGTTCAGTTTGCGACCTGCACGCATGAGAGAGGGTCTGTTTTTTTTTTGATTTTGTTATGTTTCGCGCGCGCGAGCAACAACAACACCAGCCAAACCTCGGAAGGTTTTGGCCCAACTCCGACCGGAGGCAACCCTGGAATCTGCTGACTTGGCATTCCGCGCGGCGTCGTGCCGAGCGATTTGCAGCCAGAGGGACCAATCGGACCCTTGGCGCCGAGACAGCACCGCCCCGCGCCTTGAGCATACAGTCAAGCAGCAGTCCGCAAGGTCGGCCATCCCGACAGCACGGCATGTCGGGAAAGGCCGAATCGTGCCCACGCCTCTCGATGTGCTGCACAGTGCTGTCGACGGCAAGCAGGATGAGCGCGATGCTGAGCCGAGCCGAGCCACAAGAGGGTGCATGAGAGCAAAGCAGAGCCAAGAGAAGCGCTCGTCAGCACGCTCACGCCGACGTGCTCGCTAAGCCCCTTCCTGCCCTTGAGACATATCGATTGCTCTCCTCCTTCTTCCCCTCGTCATCCATCCCCGAACGCCCCCTCGCTCTCTAACCGCCATCCCGCCCCTCCGACAGCTTTGGCATTCGTAGAGTCTTGTCACATACCTTCCTCTTTCGGCCCCAGCCTTCCGTCACTCGTTGGTCGCCGTCTCGTCTTTCAAACTTACCGACACTTCGACCCTCTCCGCCACCACCACCACCACCACCACCACCTTCTCTTCTTGTTTCGCCACCCGCTCTCTTCTTGACACCCACAAGTGACTGGTTCACTGCAGTGTTCGCAACTCCATTGCTCTTACTTTCTCCCATACAAACGGCGCCGGCGTCGGTTCTCACTACATTCTCTCCTTCACCAGCCATGTTCCAACTCAACAAGCTCCTCAGTGCCGCTGTGGCTCTGGCCTTCGTCGCCCAACTCGCCGGTGCACTGCCTCAGTCCTCGCAGCGCAGCGCCCTCCCTGAACTGGCAAAGCGCGCGAGCGTTTGCAACGGAGACGCCTCGCTCTGCAGCCGTCTCTATTCCAACGTCACCTACATCGGTGCGCACAACAGCTACGCTGTCGGCACCCTCGCGGGGGCCACGGTGGGCAAGAACCAGGAGCAGTCCGTCAGCCAGCAGCTCAACGACGGCATCAGGCTTCTCCAGGTACAGGCCCACAAGTCGTCCAATTCCACCTCCGGTTCCGGCATCGACCTCTGCCACTCTTCGTAAGTGTCCCCTGTCCCATGTGCTCCGTCAACATCGGCGCCGCCAAGTTGGACAGTTGCGCCCACCACCGCCCATATGAATTAGCTCTGACTTCATTTCGTTGCGTCGAACAGGTGCTCGCTCGAGAACGGCGGCACGCTCGAGTCGTACCTGACCAAGGTCAAGACGTGGGTGGACAGCAACCCGAACGACGTGGTGACGCTGCTCATTGTCAACTCGGACGACCAGGCCGCGTCGTCGTTCGCCAGCGCCTTCCAGTCCACTGGCCTCGCCTCGAAGGCGTACGCTCCGGGTAGCGCCGCGCTCGCCAGGGACGCGTGGCCGTCGCTCGGCTCGCTCATCGACGCAGGCAAGACGGTGGTAGTGTTCATGGACAACTCGGCCGACACCTCGTCCGTCCCTTACATCCTGCCGCACTTCCAAAACACGTGGGAGAACGCATACGACCAGACGGCCACTCCGTTCAACTGCACGGTCGACCGCATCAACTCGGGCAGCTCGCCCACCAACCTCATGTACCTCGTCAACCACTACCTCGACTCGTCCTTCTCGCTGTTCGGTACCACCGTGCTCGTGCCCAACACGGCGCAGATCGCCACCACCAACAGCTACAGCTCCATCATGGCCGACGCCAACAACTGCGCCGCCATGCACGGCCAGGGCTACCCGACGTTTGTGCTTACCGACTTCTACGACCAGGGCAACGGCAGCGTCTTCCAGGCCGCCGCTGCCATGAATGGCGTCAGCTACGTCGCCAAGCCCATCGGAAACGCCACAAA